CTCTTGGTTTGTGATAAACAAACATGGTGACAACTTGCTGGAAAAAGATATTGTTAATCCTCACAGAACTCTAGTCCAATAGTTGCCATTAATTTGATTTTGAATTGATTTTAGAATGCATTTCAATTGATTGTGATTTTATGTGAACTGTGTTCCTTTTATTGTTGTTGGCCACTCTGAGCCTGGCTTCAGCTGGGGAGGGCGGGATATAAATAAATTATTATTATTATTATTATTATTATTATTATTATTATTACTACTACGGTATTATTATTGGTTTGGAAGGTCAGTTTTGATGGTATCCTTGGTCCTGGATCTAGTAGAAGAGGCTGCTGAACTGCTCAGAAAAGTTTCTTTTTGAAACAACGGCCTTAGCTGGCCATAGAAGTGCTCTCATCAGCATCTCAAAGAATGAGCTAGGTTGGCATAGCTACAATTAAGTGATGGTACTCTCCGGAAGGGGTGCATCATCATCATCATCAATATTATTACTATTATTATTATTATTATATCTCACCTTTTCCCCAGAACAAACTTAAGACATAAAAAGACAATGATTAAAATGTAATCAAAAACTAGCAGAATTAAGATAATATACAATGGTCATGGTTTCCTCCAAAGACAGACCTACAATTTTCAGCACCCTTAACAAACCACAGTTCCCATGTTTGTTTGGGAGAAGCCATGTGCTTCTCTCAACTGTATCTTCCCTCAACTATCAACTACAGCAGGTTTTCCATCAGCCTGCCAGAGAAAGAAGAGATGGAAATGGAGGGCTGCTCCTTCTGCTCTGCTGAAAGACCAGGAAGTTTTGGCTCCCTCTATCCTCTTCCCGGGGACGCGGGTGGCGCTGTGGGTAAAAGCCTCAGCGCCTAGGGCTTGCCGATCGAAAGGTCGGCGGTTCGAATCCCCGCGGCGGGGTGTGCTCCCGCTGCTCAGTCCCAGCGCCTGCCAACCTAGCAGTTCGAAAGCACCCCCGGGTGCAAGTAGATAAATAGGGATCGCTTACTGGCGGGAAGGTAAACGGCGTTTCCGTGTGCTGCGCTGGCTCGCCAGATGCAGCTTGTCACACTGGCCACGTGACCCGGAAGTGTCTCCGGACAGCGCTGGCCCCCGGCCTCTTGAGTGAGATGGGCGCACAACCCTAGAGTCTGTCAAGACTGGCCGTACAGGCAGGGGTACCTTTACCTTTACCTTTTACCCTCTTCCCAAATTGGCTTGTTACAGCTGGTCTTGTAGCTAAGATATAGCGCTTGAGTTTGTTTTTTCCTCCCTCCTCATCCACTTTCCTTTTGTGTCATATCTTTTAAATCATAAGTCTGAGGTCACATACAGCCTTAGCACTGGCAGACGCTTCAGTTGAAGGGTCAGATAAAACACTTGAAGGAAATGTAGCTGCGGGAAGCGCCAAGTTTTATTGTCTACTGCAACACTCCCCCCCCCCCATGCAATGAAGGAAAGGGTATTGTTTGAAGGGCAGCTGCAAGCCACCATTTTTATTTCACTATAAAGCCCTGGAGCTCTCTGGAAAATGGTAGCCACTCAGTGCCCTAAGGTAAGAGACTAGAGTGATGTCAGCAGCAACCCTTCTTGCTGTGAGATTTTTGTGGGTGAGCTGAGAGATTGCTTAAGACTCTGAGTGAGAGCCTGGGTGGGTGGGTGGAGTACTGGGTGAGAGCCAGGAGGTGAAGAGGGAGGGTGTGTCCAAAGGCAAAAGAATTGGTATTGGTTGATATTTATTAGTAATTCTGTATCAATGCCACATGTTTATATGTCAACTCTGTATTTTTGCATTTTTGTAATTTTGTAATCTTCTCAGTTGTCTGTTGCTACTTTAGTTTTCTGTGCAGCGCTTAGAGATTTTGTTATTATTATTAGCATTATAGAAATGGTGTTAATAAATAATATTTCAGAACGTTGTCAGTCTTTTTGCTATGCATTTGGACGTTTCTTAAGAGATCGTAACCAAATTTTGCACGATGGCTGCAGCTCCCATCAGCCTGCAACCTCAGGCTGGTGTTAGGTGTGCACACGCTGCAATAAATTTAGTGTCACAATTGGCACTTCTTACTTAAAACTGTTCTAACTCTCACACTGTGCCATCTGTGAAGTTTATTTCTTTTTGCACCCCAGAGGAAAAGGATGTCTCAGGATACTAAAAAAGACTGAAAAATTCCCATATGCCTTTGGGGTTGTATAAGTTGCCGATGGTGGTCCATTGGTAATCTGCCACCATTTTTAAAATAATGCACGAGGAAAGCACATTTTAATATTAGATGTCTTTAAAAATAAATAAATATTGTTACCAATTCTACACACATAAATAATCAGACATGGCATGACTAACAAAAAATGGGTCAATAGGAGGGTAAAATACTAAACATATTTACAATGCAGAATAATGAGGTGATTACAGTAAGCCAGTAAAATGAATTTGTCAATAAATCAACTTGGAAATAACAGAGTAATAGGAGTGAGCTAAAGAGCAGTGCCTGCTTATCTAGGCCATATTGCAATATATGTTGTAGGTATTTCTCATCCGTGTGTTGTTTCATTTGAATATTTAATAAAATCACACCATAAAGTGCAAAAATTATCTTGTTTTTTTTCCTTTCCCCTTGCCACCTTCAATTTTTGTGACAGCTTTTCCATTGTGGCTGTTTGCCAGACTATATTATACCACTGATCAATATTCATTAATTGCAAGGTTTTCCAAGCTCTAGCTATTACTGTTTTAGGTAAAGGTAAAGGGACCCCTGACCATTAGGTCCAGTCGCGGACGACTCTGGGGTTGTGGCGCTCATCTTGCTTTATTGGCCGAGGGAGCCAGCATACAGTACAGCTTCTGGGTCATGTGGCCAGCATGACTAAGCCGCTTCTGGCGAACCAGAGCAGCGCACGGAAACGCCGTTTACCTTCCTGCCAGATCGGTACCAACTTATCTACTTGCACTTTGACGTTCTTTCGAACTGCTAGGCTAGCAGGAGCAGGGACTGAACAATGGGAGCTCACACCGTCGCGGGGATTCGAACCACCTACCTTCTGATCGGCAAGTCCTAGGCTCTGTGGTTTAACCCACAGCACCACCTGCATCCCAATTACTGTTTTAGCTGCTGTTAATAAATGTGTTATTAATTCCTTACTCCTTAATTGGTCCATATCTGAAGTACAGTACATAAATTAAGTGAGACTAATAATGCTGGGGTTATTGCATTTGTCTGAGCTGTAACCTGAGATATCTCTTTACAAATGTCCCTCCAAAATTGGCCTATTTGTGGACAATCCCACCACATATGTTGCTATGTACCTAAATTTGGCATCCTCTCCAACAGAAGAAAGAGCTATTGGGCTGTATATAAGATAGGCATCTCAGTGTTAAATACTGTATCATCCATAAACAATTTTAGTGAATGTTCCCTAGTAGTTGCTGACAAAAATTTACATGCGGCTTTTGCCCATAATATGTTCCATTGTTCTCTTCAATGTTTATATCCCGTGTTTTTCTACTAGAAAAAATGTGCCAGGACTCACTATGAAGTTGTTACAATAAGTGCCACACTTTTAACTAGTGCTTTTATTCTAGAAAAAAGGTGCTGATGCTGCGTACCCTTGGGTACCACCAGGAAAAAAGCACTGTATTATATCCCAATTTAATTCCCACCAGCTTTTTTTATTTTTGGGGGGAACAAAATTGATTCTCAATATGAGTTTTGTATAAAAGGTTAACTAATCTCTTATCCATTGAGCTGTATCTTACTACTTTCTTTTCACGTTCTCTCACTTTCCTTGTTGCTTCATTTTTAATTTGTATATTTGTAAGAAATGATCCCAATTGATATCCTAGCAGCCATAAAATTTGGTTATTTTCTAAACATACTTAAATCTCTGCAACTGTAAGAGGTTGACCTTTTGTATAGTAATCTTTCAAATAATATAAATGGTGTTATTTCCATGGCTTCACATTATATAATCTGCTTTTATTTTGAAATAAACTTTTGCCCATTTCTTTCTATATTCTAAATGACACAAATGTGTTGGGAAGAGTAAGCCAACCCAACAATCAAAGCTGATTTTTCATTAATGCTAGTACCCCATAGGAACACCATCAATTTCCATATCCTCCAGTATTGGCTAGTAGGTTCTCCTATTGAATTACACGATTTCCACCATATGGCTAAATTGGCTTGATTCATAATAGCTACTTAATTTTGGAATGCCCCAACTGCCTTCCGATGGGTGGAGGTATAATAAAGATGTCATTTCTTAATGCACATTTATGATACATTTGCGTTCATAAGGCAGTTAGGATGTGCACAGACGATCTACACAATTCTAACCCGCAAATGTTATAAAAGTTTTTATGCTTTTTTTTTTGAATGAGTTCCAATTTATACATACGCCTAATAAAATAAATGATACGTCCGCGGCCATAGGTTCATCACCATTTATTAAGTGGGCCTGGTGGAGTCAAGGACGAAGGAAGACCTGCAATCAATCTTTGATAAATCTGCAGAAATCTTAAAAATATTATTTATTCTGCAATGACAAAAGAACTCTCTGGACATTTCTGCTCCCCTCCCCCAACCCTCCTCTTAGGGAAGGGTCACAACTCAGAACAACACGCAAAGTAGAGAGATAGAAAGCAGCTGCGCCTGCGCGCAAGCATAGACCAGAGGGCGAGCGAGGGAGTTAGAGAACTCCGAACTCCCTCACATCCACCCCGCGCTTGCGCAGACGAGCCCCTCCACTCCTATTTTCTCTCCCTCCCTTCCATTTTGTCGGCGCAACCAACCTTAATGCTCATAATATGTTTCGGGGGAAGGAAAGCGAGAGAGAGAAAAAAGACCCGACTCGTTTCCGTCTCCTTTATGACATTGATGGACACGTCAGACACCCAATAGGCTTGCGGAGGCGTCCAAAGGGACGATCGGCAGTGGCGTAGCGAAGGCAGAGAAGGCGGGATTTTCAGCCTTTCTTTTCACTCCTTTTTTTTTTTTGGCCGCAGCCAACCAATCACCCAGCCAGCATGTTCGGGTGACACCTTTTGGTGCGCTCGGGGCGGCGTCTCGGGCTCAGTGTGGTCGGAGGCGACGGAGGGGCCGGACGCTCCCCGGCCTTGTTGTTGTTGTCGTCGTCGTCGTCGTCGTTATGGGGCCGCTAATGGCGTCCCCGTCCCCGTCGAGAGGCGCCCGCTTTAGGTAGCTGAGCGGCGGCGCACGACAGAAGCGGGAGAGGCAAGATGGAGGAGAAGGCGGCCAAGGAGGAAGGCGACGCCGAGATCCAAGAGCTGCACGGGCCCGAGCACTGGTTCAGCAAGTGGGAGCGGCAGTGCCTGGCGGAGGCCGAGCAGGACGACGGGGCGCTGCCGCCCGAGCTGCAGGACGACGACGAGGCCGCCGCAGCTGCCGCCGCCGCCGCCACCCCGCAGCCCGAGCACAAGCAGCAGAAGCTCTGGCACCTCTTCCAGAACTCGGCCACGGCGGTGGCGCAGCTCTACAAGGGTGAGGAGGAAGGGAGGGGGAGACCCGAGGGATGGAAGGGGGGAGGGGAGGGAACGGGGAGCGCCCCCTCTCAAGATGGCTGGGAGGGAGGGAGGGAGGAGGCAGAGAGGAAGTGCCAGGGCCATGGGGGAGGGGTTTCTTTTTGGGGAGGAGAGGCTGAGGTTTTAGGAGGTATCTCCAGTTCATGGGGGAGGGGAAGCGGGTCCCCTAATTATATTGGGGGTGGGGGGAGGAGCAGGGAGATAGGGACCTCCATTTATGGGGTAGGAGATTTGGAGGCACGTCGAATAGCTTGTGGTTAGTGGGGGCCTCCCTGGGTGTGTGGAAGGGCACCCCTATTCATATAGGGGTATGGGGGACCCCCATTCATGAAGGCAGAGGAGGAGACCCTGGAGAGGTTCTCGGGGTAGGGCGAAGAGCTTTTGGAGGAAGATTGGGATCAGTAGAGGGGGCCCTATTCATGGAGACGGGGTGGGGAAGCCAATTGGCATGGAACTGGGGAAGGGGGACCCCCACTATTAAGGAGGCGCAGGTAGAGAAGACGAGGATTCTGGCGGGTTTGGAGCAGGTCAAAGAACAAACGGGTCTCCATGGGCAGCTTAATAGGAGAAGGGGGTTTCCTCTGCCTCTACGTGGGGCTGTTGAGTATCCTGGGGTTGGGCGAGAAAGGAGAAGCCCGTGTACGCGCTAATGCGTGTAGTTAACACACGGCACGTTCATACGTGCGCAGTCGCGTGTGCCTGTATGCCTTACACGTTCCTGCCTCCGCGCTTCTCGTGTGTCTGGGCATTGACGCGTGTACGTACACACGTGCGGTCTCTGTTCATTGATACGTGTGTGAGGGGCAGAGGCGGCGACGTGTCTGCTTCGCTTCCTTTGCCCCCTCTCTTTCGTGGGAACGGGGCCTGCAGGGGGAGGCGAGGAGGAAGTGGCCGCGGGCGGAGAGCGGGAAGCGCCTGTCAGTGGGCCCTCCGGCCGGCCTTCCTTCCTCCCAGGCCTCGCCCGCCCGTCACGGCCTTTCCAGTCGGCCGCCGTGATACAGACACGGCGGGCGCGCACACAAAATGGCGTGAGGCGGATCCCTCCGCCCTCCTTTTCTCGCCTCGCGCCCCATTTTCTTTTCCCTCACGAAATAAATATAAGGAGGGTGGGGGGCGGAGGGGGAGAAAGGTATGTTGGTTTCTCCTTCGTTCTTTTCTCCCTCTCTCCCCCCCCCCCGCGCAGTTGGCAAGTGGGTTCGTCCCGGCCCCTCCCTTCAGCTTCCCGTCGTCGGCCCTTCCCACCGACAAAATGGCGAGAGGGAGGCTCGGGTTGGGAGGGGCCTGTGGCAGGAGGAGAGAGAGGAGACGACGTGAAAAAAGCGAGTTATTGTAGGCTTCCCGTTTCCCCTTCCTTTTAATGGTGTTTGTCTTTCCCTCCTGCTGCTGCCAGTCTCCCCCTACGTGAGGGGAAGCAGTTTTACTCGCCCCTCCATTCACATGTGGTTGGTTCCAGTAGTCTCTCTACCCCTCCATGAAGACTTGGTTGATTCCAGGATGCTTCATATCCTGATTTTTCAATCTTTTTTTGTCCCCCTCCTTCAAAAAAGGTATCCCATTTCCCCCTCCCTCCTCTGTCCAGGCAACTGAACAAAATGGCGAAGCCCAACATGGCCGAGGGAGGGTCTGAGTGACAGATCATGAGCAGAGCCTGAGAAAGAGATAAAAGCGAGTTGGGTGGTTTTCTCTCTCTTCATTTTCTCGTTTTTGTTCTTTTGTTCTTCCTCCTCCTGGCACCCCCCCCCCCCCGCACAGACCGTGTGTGTCAGCAGCCAGGCCTCTCCTTGTGGGTCCCATTCCAGAATGCAGCCACTGCTGTCACCAATCTGTACAAAGGTGAGAGATTTCAGGTTGGTTGTGGGTTGTGGGGAGGGTGGCAGGATGAATGGGGCCTGAAGAGGACAAGTAGGAAATGGACTTCAATAGAGGAATAACTGAGTTATTTTTCCTGTGTGTGTCTGTGTGGTTCGACAAGTCATGCTGTGCCTCTTCATCTCTTGCCTCCTTCAAATCATAGTCTTGTTAATAAATGCATACTGGTCTTCACTTCATATTCTTGGGCATTTCTGCTCCACCAGGAGTTCAACCCTCCCTCCCCATTTTATCCTGCAGCCATCCTGTGAGGTCGGCCAAACTGTGAGACAGCAACTGTCTACCTAGTGAACTTCATGGCCAAGTGGGGATTTAAAACCTAGTCTCCCAGGAGCTAGCCCAACACTATCCGCTACATCACACTGACTGTTTTGCAGTTTCCTGCTCCCCCCCTCTCTGTTTCTGTTGCGGTAGTTGCACAAATTGTGGCCACACAGTTCTTCAGTCTGGTAAAGGTTTGCTGTGCTTTACCTGACTGTGGTACTGCAGTTACAGATAGCAGAATAACTTGCCACTTTCAAAGTTAGGCTGGTCAGCCAGGTTTTCCCTCTTGCCTTCCCACACAATTAGTGAGCGTTCCTGGACAGTGCAATTGTATATTTGTGACAATAAATATGGAAATAGGGTGCTGGTGGTTACAGATAGCTTGGCAAAAATGCAATGTTGTGGAGTTGCATATTTGATTAGGAGGGTAGCAGGGGTATAGTTCTTTATAAATGGTCTGAGTCTCCAGGTGCTGCACTATTGCTCCCATTATCCCTTCCATTGGCTAAACTGGCTGGGGAGTCAGTAGTCCAGGTGCTCTTGGGACTACAAGGTTGAAGAACACTGGCCTTCAAGTAGTGACTTGCAGTGTGTAGCTGGGTATTTCCCAGACTAGAGACATGTATGATAGACTCCTGGGAAGAGAGGAGTGATTCATAAATGATAAATTTGAGAATGCTGAGGTCTGGAAATCAGTGCTGTATGTTGTAGAATAAGGCCTACTCCACCCTTTCCCAGAATACTGCTGCACACTGTAGAGAGAACTGTTTCCATTTTAGAAAACAGAACACTTCTGGAGTATGGTGCCATGATATTTTCAGTGTTAATAATTGTTAATTATAATATGTGTTGAGGTGCCTGCATCTAAATAACTCAGTATTGAGTGCCTTCTGCTTCCATCGTATAGATAGAAGCTACCGAATCATGCCCTTCACTGTTCTTGGAGATGCATTGTGAATTGTGAGTGAGTGACAAAATCTTCGTTGTAAGGAGTCTTTGGCCAGAATGACAGAGCCAAATGTATTCTGATGTGACAGTTGCCAAGGTTCTTGGAAGAAGAAATGAATCAGTTTAACTGCTCCAGTGTTTGGAGCCTACCTGTCCATTCCTTTCCCTATCTTGAATGTCAGCCATTTTTGTGCTGCATTGTCCTTGACCTGCATTACCAGCAGTCTGTTAGGTCTACCTGGGTCCGAGTGCCTTTTAGGAACTGAGATAATAAGGTCCATTCATAACAGAAGCCTTTCTCAAGCTATGTTTTGACCAAAAGAGCCTTGTAAGTTAAGACACCTAGGTATTGCTGAACATTTGTGCATAAGGCAGTCTGAGAGCCACCTTTTCCTCAGTGGATTTGGTTATATAGAGTGTGGAATTGGTGGTGTAAGCCTTGAGACCTAACTGTGATAGAATAGAATGGTGGTGGGGAACCCATGGTCCTTCAGGTGTTGGATTCCCATCACCCCAAGCCAGTATGGCCAATCGTCAGTGCTGATACAAATTGGGAGTCCAACAGTACCTAGAGCACCGCAGTTTTCCTATCCCCAGAACAGGAATGTTGAGGTGCCCCAGGATGTCATCTGTGTCTTCATTCCCTTCATTCTGACCCTCTGCCTCATAGGAATGACTAAGACCTTTCTAGGTTCTTCATTATCACAACACAGACAGAATTACCTTGGTCTGTCTGTCAAGTGGCAGAATGCTTCTGTCTCACCTATTGTAGTACACCTGGTCCTTTGGATATGGAGTACAGGTATTATTCAGCTAAGAAACCTAGGTGTGGTTCAGGCTAATTTCTGAACAGTTTGAAATGGGGGTCTTGAGTCACCTAGCACATTACTGGATGAAAAGTTGCTTTGTGACTCAGTGCCCTAAGGCCTCCATTCTTGTAGGAATCATGAGAAAGTTGATTTGCACACTTGGAAGGGGAATTTCTGGAGTCTACAAGGAAGTCTAGAAGTGGTTAAATCTCTACCCTTAAGTTATGTTACAAGCAGACAGCCTTGAATTGGGGAGGATGACTCCTAGAATAGTGTCCAGCTTGACATAATAGCATAGTTTCCCATAGGAACAAAGTGGTTCTACACTTTGGCTGTGTAGTAGCTGACATTGGAGAGAACTGATCTAGTAGTAGTCTGGTGCTATTTATACTGTCTTCTAAAAAACCTTAGTGACACTGAGTGAATTGCAAATCAGTTGGCATCCAGAATGTAGATGACAAAGCATCTAGTTCCTTCTCGCAGTCACAGAAGACAGCATACATACTGACTGCTAGGGTATTAATATTACTCTTTTTACTTTTAATGATTATCATTTCTATGTTTTTAGCTTTTTCTGTTTTATCTGCATATTTGTATTTTTAACAGTAAGTTGCCTTGAGTACCGATGGGGTGGGGGAAGGCGGAATATAACTAAATAGCAACAGTTCATCCCTCAAATTAGCGAGCTGTGCTGTGCTGCTAGACTTAAATGGATCAATTTGTGTTTGCTTTGTCTTATATGAGAAGGGGGCAAGAATGTGATTATGGGTTTTTGTGGGTTGGGGTTTTTTTCTGATTTATGAACTGCAGACCAGCACAGGAATCTTAGCACACTGAGACTAAAATAGCTTGCCAGCTACTGGTACATCCTCCATAAGGCTCACATGTTCTCTTCCATCCACTCATGGTGGAAAACTGAAGACAGGACTACATGCTACTGACTTTGTCTGAAGTTGCTCCCATTTCCTATAAGGAGACTCTTCAAGGAGTAACGAGTCATCTGACAAAATGGTTTCAGTTTCAGTTAAACCATAGGTTACCCTTTTGATACGTTTGACCCAATATGGTGGGGTAACAATAGTTTAGTCAGACTTAACTTTTTCTGCAATCATGTGAGTAACTTGCTATAGAGCAATAGGTGTAATTAGATGGTGTAGCTTCCAGTGTGTAGTGGTTTGAATGGAATGCAACACTCAAAATGGCAAGCTCTTAGTCATCAAGGGAGGTCTTTGCCAACTCAGCCAATAGTATTAGTCAGTGCTGTTTTTCCTTATTTGTGCAGCCAGCTTCCATTTTGTTTGTTTATTGCTTGGTAAGGGAAGACATCTGTGTGATAGCAGTGACTTATGCATGTACCTGTTGAAAATAAAAATAAAAACCCATGGAATTGGGTTGTAAATTTGCCATGTGGAGTCAAAAGACCTGTGTGCTAGACTAGTCTTGTAACTGCATCCTGCCCATCAGTTGTGCAAGGCAGAAAGTGGGTAGGAACAGGTGCACTGAGTACTACAGGGCAGCTTGGGACAGTGCAGGAGCATTGCTCAAAGCTGTGGAAAGTCGACTGTAGGTGGAGTTGGGACAGGATGTTTACCAGGGCTGGTGGCCCAGCCCACTTAAATTGCAGGATACTGCAGGAAATTGTGCCAGTGCTAATGCAGCAGCACTAGTTCTTGAGCAGAGGTTCTCCTGAAATCCCATCAGCTCATATAAGAACATAGAATAGAACATAGGAACACGGAAAGCTGCCTTATAGTGAGCATGACTTAAGGAGCACTGTTGACACCAACCAGCAGTGGTTCTCCACAGCTTCAGGTCCTGGCTCCTTTTAAGCATGGAGAACATGTGCTCTTCAACTGAGCTACAGTTTTTCCTTACACAAATATGTAGACAAATCATCCAAAACCAGTTTGAAATCCATTTTGTGTTACCAGAGTCATATTTTTGACCTGGCAGTATATTGTGAAATCACAATGTGGGAGAAACCATGAAGCCAGCCAATGCCTATACATAGTTCCATATTTATTTCAGACATTGTAATGTACAGTATTGATATATTGTGATGTTTAGTTAGTGATCTATCGTGATATTGAAAATCAGGTATCTCCCAGCTCTGTACTGTAGCACAATGGTAAAAAGGTGAACTGTGAAATCTCCAGTAGATGTCTTGGCTATGGACTCACTAGGAAGTCTTGTGTAGCTGACTCTCTCTCTATACCCTCCATCTGTAACTGAAGTTAGTACTGACCTATCTGTACATGTAATTTATGAGGATTATATAGTACAGCAAAAATTGTATATAAATGCTGTTTGCTTCCTGCTCTTCCTCTTCTTACACTGGGGTAGCATGTGCCCTTGTCCATCACATTTTATTCTCTCAGTAATACAGTGATGTAGGTTTGGCTCAGAGTGACTGGATCAAGGCCACCCAGTGATCTTTAACAGAGTGCAGGATTGAATCCATGTCTTCCCAGTCCTTCCTTTAACGTGCTAACCACTGTACTACATTGACTTTCAAATTGACACATTGATAATTTTAAGATAGAGGCAACTGCTTGGCTTTTGCCATGGATTCACATTGTCTTGCAGATAGCCCTGTTCTTACTGAGTTTGCCACCTCTACCTCAACCTCAGTAGCTGGATCTATGTGTGTATGTTCTGCTCATGTGGCAACGTTAATTCCAGTTGGATCTTCAAAGGGTGCTTAGAATCAAGGTAGCAAATCTGCTTTAATCTTTTCAAAAATGGAACAGCTCCTTGAGTAAGGAACATTATTCTAAATGTATGAATCTGACTAGGAAAAAGGTGTCAATTTTATTATTTACTGCCAGACTTGTATACTGCTATTTCCACACCAAGAATGGACACAGGTACCTTTTGACACTGTGCACACACATGCTTTCACATGTATATGTGTTAGCAGTCCTACAAAAATGTTCATCCACCATCGTTCAATTACTCATAATACATCAAGTAAACAACTGTTTCTTCATTTGGATCCTACTGACAGTGGCCTTTCAAGGTAAAACAAGTTGCTTTCTGGACTGGCTTTGATCACCCAGTCAATACAATGTGGTAGTTCTAATTGCTCAGTGGGAGGTCAGTCTGTTAACCCCAAGTAAGAAAATTGCTAATAATCATGCCAAGCATAATGGCACCAGGCAGAATAGGAAGATGTGTAAAAACAAGGAGTGTCAGTCTAAGACTGTAGTTCTCACTTTGATATATTGCTGTTGATAAATCACAGTGCAATTTACAAAGTTGCCAAGGACAAAGTGGAATGCATGTATTTCCTAACTCAGTAAGGATAGGATTGAAAGTGCAAACTTGCAACACTTTTTAGCAGGTAAAAACTTGTGCTGAGGATTTTGCAAGTCGAGCAAATTTTAGGAGTGTTTCTAATATATAGGTCCAGTGGTGGTGTAAATTGTGTAGTTTGCTAGTGGTTGAAGATGCCCAATAAAAGCATGATAGTTTAACCATTTTTTTTGTTAGTAGTGCTCACGTTTTGAAATCTCCCTATAAGGTCTGTTAAAAACAAAGTTGAAGGCTTGTTTTCAGTTCCTTCAGCTTGAAATGACATGTGACTACTTGGCTGGTATGAAGATCATAAGCTTTTCTTGTCATTGCAACTCTGGAATGCGGTGTCATACAACTCTTGAGTGTGTCTATTCTGGATGCTAGTTGAAGTATCTGTGTAGAGGGCAGATACAAGTGCAGATGGTTGTCAGTGTGCAGTCATAGAAAGTAGGACTTAAACATGTTAAGTGAGTTGCGTAACTTCTCATACTGCTCTGTCTCACCTTTGCAGATATGTATTTACTTTTGAAAAGCAGCTCAGTATGCTTTTTATATAACTTGAATGTAATTAGCATTAGTATATTGATAGATAAATTTGCTTTTGCTTCCTTTGCAATTTCTGTGTCATGGAAGCATCTTTTAACATTAGTTATGTAACTTATGTGAGGAGGCTTTTAGACTTGCTTGTTTCCCATGGGCAAGCTCTTTGTTCAGATTGGGATCGTATTGATGAAACTGCTCAGTCTACTCTCCTAATTCACCGATACAAATAAGACAAGTGTATTGAAACAAAGTTTCATAAATGAAAGTTAAGATGGTGGTAATGGGCCTAAACACCATGGCACTTGAGATTAATAACTGATGGTGGTGCTCACCTCAATTGCTGCCTTACAACATTGCCTTTAAAAGTTGCCTGTAATCAAAACCCTTGTACAATGTGGCAGTATGGTGCTGCCTGGACTAAATAGCAGATGTTTTACCCTCACCCTCCCTCTCAAGAAGCATAAAGGTGGCTGTCAGATTGCACCTGTTTCTTTTTATTGCCTACCCCCATTCTCCTCCTCCTCTGTGATCTGTTTGTCTGGCTTGATTTTGGCTGTCATCTGTCTATTACTGACCCCTGGCAGCTTTAGTTGACCCAGAGAGGAGGAAGTGACTCAGGGCTCTCTTGACTGAGTCTATTTGCTTTAAACATCTACTTCCCCTAAGCGTCAAGGTGTCCAACAATAATAAAAGTGATACTGTATATGAAATACAATAAACACAATTCTTTAAAAGCTGTGTTGGTTGCAGGAGGGTAGGGATTACTGTAGTTTATTGTAGTTCCTGTAAATTATTCCTGGTGCTTGTAGCCATCACTTAACACCAAACTACCACTGGTCATGAGCAAATGCTACAGCCATGGGGCACCTCCTGCAGTGGTTAACAGCAATAAATCAGCAGTAAACAGTTACTTCAAGGCATTTTGTAACTCTACCAAAGGGTTCTTAATGAGACTTCATAGAAGAAACTGAAAGGCATAATGTTCTCCTAATACAAATGCTTTCGGGTTGTGGAGTTTTTTCTTCCTAGTAGTCATAGTTCTGCATTATAAGTTGCTGGGTCAGCAGCAGAATGACTGTAGTTCAGTTCTGAACCCCATGCGAACAGCCACTCATCTTGATAACCTATTGATATGATATCAGCTGTGGATATCCTGAATAGTGGGCTCTGGCTGACTTGTGAATGAATTTGAAAATGCAGTTGCCATATAGTGTGAAAATCGAATAGTTGTTCTAGAGCTCAGGAAAAGATTTACGCATTTTCATAGGTGTAGATCCCCCCCCAACATCTAGCAGTGAAAAGGGGTTTGGTACAATATGCTAAATGGCTTAAATTGTCTTGTTAAGAATGGATACTCATCCAGTAATAGAATGTGAAGCACAATGGTTATGTGAAGCAAGCCTCTTGCATATGCCAAAAGTTCTGATACTATTTCAGAATTCGTCATATATAGTTTTCTCTTGAATTGGAAGAATGGAACAATTTTTAAATTGAGTTTTAAGGCATGCGTGCAGTTTCAAACTGCCAGAGTAGTTTTGCTACAACTTATGGCTGTTCTCATTGCTGGCTTTACTCAGATTGCAGGGCTAGGCCCCATGGCATTCTCCTGGGAATAAATGGATATTCTACACTGTTTGCAGCTCAAGGGCCGGGTCACATTGTTGTGCATGGTTACTCAACACCTGATGGTCTCACTGCTGAATATGCAAACTGACTTGGTTGAAAAACATTCTGTTTGAGCTGAACTGATAGGAGAATGATCTAGCGTGTCTTGATCATACATGTAGGCCACTGTTGGGTGCTGCTTTCATCAAATGTGAAAGCATGAATGTGTAAACTGTAGTCTGTTGCCGGTTGCAAGAGCTAGAATGATCTACCATGGATACCATTTGGCTTGGGTTGAGACAGTTGGAATCAGCTGCTGGATTCCATGTGTTGGCTAGGCAAGTCTTATGATTTCCTGTTTGTTCATGTTTGTAAAATGAGCAGTTCAGTTTGCAGTGCTTGAGGAGTATTTCTGTATAAATGATTTCTCCTCAAAAATTTCATGCCACTTTGACTCCTAAACTTATTCCTAATGCTTCTGTCTGATGTCAAGAGTCTGTTTACCTTGGGATATTACAGAACTCCTGGGGTAAAATTACATGTGTGCTCAAAAATGCTCAATTCAAATCCTCCCCTTGAGTTAATGAGCATTGGCACTATCTGTAGGTTACACTTTTCTGTGTTAAATATTACTGTGCTCACCCTCCCAATTTTAACGAGCACCACTATGCATCAGGGTTCACATGGAACCCTCTAAGAGTGTGCCACTGCTTTTACACATTGCATGCCTCTAGCAGCACAAGACAATGCTCTTGAATGTGTGGCAAGAACTTTAGTTAGTGTTGCCCCCAAGAAGATTTTGTCAGCTTAAAATATTCAAATAATACTTTGCTACAATCATTACTATACAGTTACTAGGTATGTGGTTTATGTGCTTAACCTTTTAAGCCAAACTTTGCCATAAGTTTGGGACTCATGGAAGCTGTTCTTCAAAACATCTGGAGGGCATCAGGTTGGCAAAAGATTTTTTTTAATCAGACAGAAGTTTAATAGGAGTAAATCACATTTTAATCCCATTGGATTGAGACAATGAGGAGATGGATACAGGAAACAGACCAATCTTTCTAACTATGATCATAATCATGAAATAAATGCTTCCCGTTTTGCCTTTATTTTTATTATCTCCTCACCCTGGGACAAAAAAACATTCTCAGAGAGCAAAGTCAGGACATCTGGCAGCTTGTTTTGTATGCTCCTTTTCTTTAACTTCTATGCTTCTTTTGACTGAACTTGCATTGCTTCTTCTCCCCTCACCCCCTTGCAAGTTCAGCAAACCAGAGCGGTTTTTGCCTTCATGCTGCATCCAGCAAAGCACAACTTTTAAAAGGACACTTGTATGTTTAGAGAAACTTCACACAGGAAAAAGATGTTTTAAAACAAAAGCCAGTTTCAAATGTGTGCAACTCCATGGGAAGTGGTGGAGGGAAGCAAAGAAGCCATACATTTAGTGCTACATTTCACAGGTTGCACAAAGAGGCTCAAAAGTGTTTTAAATGAGTCACATGAAGTCAGTATTTGACTCCAGAAGCAGATTTTAACTGTGTATCTAATGCACCTCCTAAAATTCTTGTCTCTTTTTCCAGAAAGCGTGGATGCCCATCAGCGGAGTTTCGATGTAGGAATCCATATTGGCTATCAGCGTCGTAACAAGGATGTGTTGGCTTGGGTTAAAAAGCGCAGAAGAACTATTCGCAGAGAAGACTTAATCAGCTTCCTGTGTGGGAAAGCGCCTCCTCCACGAAACTCTAGAGCTCCCCCAAGACTAACTGTAGTATCCCCTAACCGAGCTACTTCGACAGAAACTAGCTCCTCTGTGGAGACGGACTTGCAGCCCTTCCGAGAAGCCATAGCTCTCCATGGTAATGGTTCTGGCTTTTTCAATGCTTTTCACAGGAATGAGTGTTTAAAGCTCACGCCTCTACACTCTTTTAACTTCTTTAATGACCGTGAGGTGTTACGGCAGCTAACATGAAGAGTAAAGGCACAGTTGGACTGGCTCTCAGTAGCTTGACACCTCATTTGCATTTTCTGCAGTTGCATCTAGCTGTAGAGTAATTTGTTGTTTCTTGCCCTGGGAAACTGCTTAGTGCACTTTCCAGTGAATATTCCATGTTATCAAAGGGTTGTATAGCTCTGAATCACTGTTCCTTAACTCTGCAAGCTCCAAACACACTAAAAAAACACTTGCTTGTTATGAGCATAGTTGAGCAGGGCTTAAGAAACATATGTTGGGAAAAGGAAGACACTTTTCTTCATTTCCCTCTTCTAGCAGAGGGAAAAGGGGGCACTTCAAAAATGTTAAGTTTTGGAGTTTCATTGATTATTTTTATTTAACAAAATGGATATGCTGCTTGATGATAGAAAACTGCTAAGCGGTTTTTTGTTTGTCCATGGGACAGCCTTGCTCCTGTGGCTCTTTAAGCCATGCTTTCAGCCATTTTGTCTTCCCAGGGACTTGAGCAAGAATCATAAAGTCTAAGGTGCAGTTTAGGTGAAAGTAGTTCCAGCTTTGTAGACTTTTCACTTGGGTACACTGGCTGACACCTTCTTGTATATCATGAAATGAGGCTTGCATCCATGCTCTCTTATTTGTTAATGTGATGCATGATTGTTTTTGGCTAAGTGTACATGAATTTGGAATCTGTAGCTGGCCAGCAGTCAAATGAATGTGTACTTGTTACTTTGAAAGCTTTCTTGCAGCATGGAGGAATTTAAAACATTACTAGCTTGTTTGGACACCTTCATCCTTGCAAGAAAAGAACATGCTTCCTGCTGAAATGCTATTCTCTACTTGTTTCACAGTGCTAAACTTACCACTTGAGTGCATGCCTATGAAAAGATCCCAGTGGTGCAGACATGCTCAAATTGAAGTGCAGGCTGATGCAACTGAAATAGAAAACCATTCGAAGTCACCTGCATGTCTGGGGGAGGAGGCTTGATTTAGAATGATTGCAAGCTCTCTTATAAATTACTACTGATGACTCAGTTTTGAGAAGATGGAAGAGGCCAGGGTTGTAAGCATTCAGAGGTGTGGGTATTTCAATAATGGATGTTTGAAGAACAAGTTGACCTGATCTTCCAGAATAGCTTATTTGGGTTCCCATCCTGGCACTGATCAGACCCACACTTGCTTAACTTCACATACTATAGAGGTAACATTTAACTTGCATTGTTTTGAGGGAAAGAAACACATTTTAATGTTTTATTTTTTTATTTTTAGAGGCATAAGCTATGATGCCCTTCTAAAAGTTGCCTAGATTTGGATAAACATAGGAAGGCAAGATTTTTTTAAAAAAAGTTTTGGTGCAACTCATAACCAGGAATGGAAACTTCAGGCTCTAGTGCTGAATGTTGCCCTCCAGGCCCCTCTTTCCCTTGCTCAGGCAACACCCCTCACTGGACCTGCTTCACACTCTCCTTGATTGTTGTTGCCTGGCTGGCTAAAATTCTTGAAATATTGTCCTTGAACTCCAATAATGACTTGCTTGCCTGGGTTGAAAATGGAGGGGTGTGTGTGTTCATGTGTGTATGTAGAAACCGTACAAAGGTAAAATTGTTGTCTCTTGCATCACCCTCCACTCCCAACCCCGGTAGGTTGACCAGAAGGGAATGTGGCCTTCAGCCTGAGAAAAGACTTTGAGAATCCCAGTGTTAATAGAGCAAAGCACTGTGTATTTTTAAGGGAAACATTCAGTAGTGTGCCTTGGGAGACTTGTGGGTTGCATTGTTTGGATCACTGATAGCATTTCCCACAGGTCCCACTAATCATCCTATAGTAGTAAGAGAGCTGAAGTGGATGCTTGTTTAGTGGTGACTAAATATCATGCATTAGTGGTTTGGGTTGTAATTGTGCAGGTGTTCTTGGCTTCAAGTCCTCATTTGGTAAGCTAATATAAATAGTGAGTTGTTGAGATAATAGCATGGATTGTAGTTGGGTTACTATTTATCTTCAAATTATGCAAACCACTGGTCTAGACTGGAATTAGAGACAGGTGTATCTTGGCAGAGCCTTTTGTTGAAACCCCCCTCCCACAAACCCACTGGTCTTCCAATGTTTTCAAAGCAAGATGGAAATGGGAAGTGCTTCTGTTACTAGGTTGCAAGCTGATTCCTAGCCTTTGTGGCTGTAACTGCAAGCTTTCTCTTCCTTCTGGATGAATACCAAAGATAGTTATAGTTGCAAGAAACGCCTGCTAACTATAAAATGAATATTTGCCTCTTTACTAACATGGCCAATATTGCTGAGGAATATGCTCTACCTTCTCATGTAGGAGTGCAAATATCCAGAGTGTGGGAACACCTCATTCTCAGGCTTTCTGTTACGTACGTATTTGTGTATCTATTTGGCTGTGTCTGGGATTGAGAAAAATGACTTACATCTCAGCACAAGGTTCAGTTCCCCACATCTCCAATTAAATGATCCCTGAAACAGGGTTCAAGATGCTGAAGAGCTGCTGCCAGTCAGAGAGCACAATGCAGCGCTAGGTAGGCATAGCTGTGCTATGACTTGGAGCAAGGTAGAGCTGTTTTGGCTTCTGGTTTTTCGTGTTTGCCTTGCTGCCTAGTAATGTTGTGGGGTTTTGTGCTTGGGAACCTGAAATTCCAGTATTGAATTGAAAGCTACCATTGACCAGGATTAGGGCATGTTTCTGCATTGATGGAGGTGCTAATTGGATATATGCTGGGTCTGGAAGATAGAACTGAGGAAATCTCTGTCCTTTTTTGGTAGCTTTAGAATAGAAACTCTTTCAGGTTGTGGTAAGTTATTGCAGTTTGGAATGCTTCTGTTTAGGGTGCCATCCATGCCACACACACATAGGATACTCCACTCCATTATTCCTTCCCTGGCTTTCCATTTTTATCCCTACAGTCTTATTCTTACATTTAGATCAGGTCTTTTCCCAAGGAGCTCAGTGGTTCCCCCACTCCCCATTTTATCCTCACAACAATTTGGTGAAGTAGGTTAGACTGAGAAATAACTGTCCCAAGCTTACCCAGTGAAGCGGAATGACTTAGGGGTTTTTGAATGCTGTCCCCACAAGTCCTAGGTTGGTACTCATAACTGCTGTGCTACATTGCCTTGGGTAGCATTTCCTGGCCATGTAGCATGTTTAGTCCACATGGGGTTGCTGTGGGTTTTTCCTTCCTTGAGGTCTTTCGCTCTGGTTATTTCCAGCTTGTGCACACAGTGGAGGTCCCCCACAGTCATCTGAAATTACACTACTTAGGTGGCAAACACGGTTAAGTGTATAGTCTAAACCCTCAGATTGTTTTGTTTTATTTGTTGAGATTATCTAAACCTTTTCCTAACAAGAATCTTCAGGACATGTTTGTCTGAATCTCAACCAGGGTCATTGGGGTCAGCAAGCACCAGGCCAGTCATGGCAACATATTGCCAGTTGTGCTTCTGAACTTGGGTCAAAAAACCTAGATAGAAAAGCTTAGTGTTACTGAGCCCCTTTTTTCGGGTTTCCTACCTAGGAGACTCACATTGACTTTAGTAACTTCAGTTCTACAGTTCTGCCCTGAACATGGAGGATTCCATCTCTGCCTTGCATCTTTTGACAGCTGTTGCCTAGAAAAGCTGTGCTTTCTGCAAACCACTCCATCAGCAGATTGGGCCCTGTTCAGGCATTGTGCTTGAATGGGGATTCGGAAAACAAATAGTGGGTGTGCACACTGGCCTCTCCACATGCCCTCACTGATCTTTCTTCATTGAGTGGGGAGGTCTGAAAGGGGCTTCTAATCAAATTCAGTTGATCCAGAATTGGGAGCCCCAGTTGCCCAAACACACTTAGAAGGCCCCTTCAGGCTTTCCCATTCAATGCAGGAAAGTTCAGAGTGGAGCATGGCATGCATGTTCCTGTGCCCATATCTCACATTCACATTCCGGATTCAGGTATAATGCAGCCAAACAAGCATTATTGGAGTTCAGGAACACATTTCATTCCAAGGAGGGTGCAAAGCAGGACTGGTGAAGACTAGTAGGGAGAGGGGATGTTGCTTGACAGGGTGTGTAACCTATGGAGAGGTCTGTAGGGCCATTGGCTCCTGCATCTGATGTTTCTCTGGTGCACTGTGGAAGTATATTGACACACTGGCTGCAGCAGGAAGAGCTACTTTGGGTCATATCCCAGATGGGCTTGATGTGCCCTGTTCCCTATTTGTAGTTCTCCTTGAACAATGGGGCTTTCCTGCCATCTTGCAAACAGCTTTCAAAAGTCTTTTCCCTTTCAAAGTGGCTTGCTACTTGGCAGGATAAGGGCTTGCAGCTACTGGTGTGGCTACCTGTTCAGACACAGAGAACTGGTTGTGCAGTTCAGGTCCTGGCTTTTGTCTCCCATATTCTTGTGAGCAACTTTGAGTGGCCTGGAGTCTGTCTATTCTCCAGTGACATTCTGATAGCTGGGAGAGATCAAGAGTAGAGTTAATTTGAATACTAATTCATTTCCCCATACTCATATCCTGCCCTTCCCGATGGAAGCACAGAGTGGCTAACGATAACACTATTGTACACACGTCACAGCAACAAAAATGTTAACATCATAACAAAGTGTTCAGAAGAGCAATGGCAGCAGAAGGGTCAATTACATACCAAAGAGATGAGTAAATAAAAGTTTTTGCCTTGGGCCTAAATGAGGCCAGCATGAGGGACAATCAAATATCATTTGGGGAGGAATTCTGTAATTTTAGGGGGAGTGGGGCCATTTCATCTCCTACCCAACAGAAGTTGAAGTCAGATTAACAAGTGGAACAGATATTAATAGATGGGTAGAGCAGTACTAGAGAAGATACTTTTTCAGGTACTTGAGTCTTCCATTCTGTTAACTGTTTTGTTAAGCGATAATTCATTCCCCTTGGTTTGTCATTAGCTGTGGTACACTTGTGCAGTAATGTGTACTTGGAGTTGCTTCACTTCATATTACCAACTCCTGTTAACCAGCAAGCGAGGGCTATAGGACCTCTGTCTTCACATTTCATGAGATAGGTTCTGTTGGTTGTGGACTGAACCCTCAACTTTTATTATTTATTTTTGGTCAGAATGTGACAGCAGACTATCTTTAGAGGTGTCCACAATTTTCTGGCTTGGCTTTGTTGCCAGCCATTATTAGTGATACCTTCTCCCCCTCCTCTCCCAGGTGTCTTCCATGTGTAGAGGATATGGTGGTAGCATGGGGACTTTGTCTCACTTTGCATTGGATGTTGGAATAAGTAGAAATTACTTCTTAAAAGCCCAGTGTCATGTCCCTCTCAGCAACTCACTGGATTGGTTGGATGGCTTTTCTGGATAGGTCTGGGAGAGACTTCTGCCAAACACTGGAAAGATGCTGCCAGTCAATGTAGATGTTCCAGAGCTAGATGAACCAATAATCTTGACTCTGTAAGACAGCCTCCTATAAGGGAACAGAGGGACATTGGTTGAGAGTTCCTGCTTAGGGGAGAGAAGTGATTGCCATCAGTGACTGAATTTGTCAACTTCTCTAAGAAGTTCTTTGTTCTCAAGTTCAGATTGCTGCATAGGTTACATGGAATTAAGCCTGGAGCCAGTCTAAAATCTTGCTATCCAGATACTGTTGTTGGATTATAATTCTCCAGCTGAAATGGCCACTGGTTAGGATGATGGGAGTGATGTCTAGAGGGCACCACGTGGCCTCCCATGAAATGAAACCGTATATTTAATTGAGTTGGTAGATTTGCCCAATTTAGTGTGTAAATTCATGAAACCCAAAGGAATTTATGTTTGTTAGTCTTCTGAATGTGTGACTTGGTCAGATATTCTTTCCTCCTCCTCCTGGGAATCTTGTGTAGCAGAATGTTGGATTTGGAGGTGTCCCTTTGTTTTTTAAGGAAAGTTTATTTGGGGCTGGTTGAGGTTTAGGAATTAAATTGACGGAGCTGGTGTTCATTGGAAATAAGCTAGCCCCACCCCTGAGGCTTCCTGCAGGGAAGGACACTTGTCTCACGTGACACCATCTGGAAATATTTCCGAGGCTGGAGGTGAGGCAAAAGGTGTTTTTCTCATGTGGCTTATTCTTTGGTGACTGGTAAGGACAACTGTTTCTTGTCAGATCTGAAAGCAGGGAGATGCAAACGTAAGAACCCTGGTGCACATTACTCAACAATGTGTTTGTTAACAAAGGCTTCTTCAGGCAATTCCCTATGTCAGATGCATCTGCTACATTCTGTTAAAAGTGCCACAGGTGTTGTTGCTGTTGCAGAAGGCTGATGCTACTCTTCTGGATTCTGATCCAGTATTGTTCAAGGGCCTGTCAGTATGTTTCTTGACTGCTGGTTTGCAAGGGCCTGCCTTTGGAAACTACATACTGTTGGTGCACATTCAGTTTTATTATGCAGGCATTTGGCCATAACAATTTGACTGTTCAATGAAACAAGTATTTCAGAGGTCTATAGTGAGAATCAACATGGATGTGATTTGAACCTTGTGTTCTTGAATCAGGGAGTACCGTTGACTTTTGTAAATCATTGCCGTCAAATCTGTGCACTTCAGGAATAAATTCTGTGAATTTTAGAACTTCTATAGAAAGTTGTCATTCTGAGGCTGAACGTTTCGGTATAAACCCTTGAAGCAGAGTAACACAACCTGGTGGTCACTTATGCTTCTTTTTATCGTCTGACTGAAGCACATTCTCTTGTACTGTATTTTAATTTTTGTGAATATGTAGCTCTGAGCATCATTGTGACTTGATTGCTTATTAATAAGCAAAAAAGACGCACCGTGGCTACTTTAAAATATGGCTACAGACATAATGTCTGAACTAAACCAAACCTTTAACAGTGAAAGTAGCTTTTAATGGCTGGTATTTTGAGCCCGGACCATATATATTTAAAAGTCTACATTGGCTCCAGTACGTTTCCAAGCACGATTCAAAGTATTGATGCTGAGCTTTAAAACCCTAAACAGCTTCAGCCCTGTATACCTGAAGGAGCATCTCCACTCCCATTGTTCAGCCTGGACACTGAGGTCCAGCTCCGAGGGCCTTCTGGAGATTCCCTCACTGCAAGACGAGAAAGCTGCAGGGAACCAGGCAGAGGGCCTTCCCAGTAGTAACACCCGCCCTGTAGAATGCCCTCCCATCAGATGTCAAGGAGATAAATAACTGCACAACCTTTAGAAGACATCTGAAGGCAGCCCTGTATAGGGAAGTTTTTAATGTTTGATGTTTGCTGTGTTTTTATTATGCTGGAAGCGGCCCAGACTGGCTGGGACAACCCTGCCAGAGGGGCAGGGTATTACCACCATCATTTTTTAAGGTTTTGGAAGCACCTATATTAAGGGTCTTGTAATATGCAACTTTAAACCTAATTGATCACTCGCCTTGTGGTAACCGATCAAACAGATTCTTGACTAGAGCTATGTGCCAGTGTAGGTTAACACCCTGGCCCTAAAAATTGTTCCACAGACTGCTACAAGGCATAAATCTGCATGTTACCTCCTTGCAACCTTGTCTGTCTGTGTGTACGGTTATAAGGCTGATGGGGCTTGGGTGGGCCACAGACTATTTGGAGAACTCCAGACCATATCCATAAAGCATGTGCTAGAAATACTTGTTTTGTGCGACACTGTTAATACCATAAACATGTGAAACCTTATCTGCCAAGGTGAATTGAAACTTACCACCAACTAAAACATTTTACTTTAAATGTGTCGTTGTACTACTGTAATATGCCTCTGAATGCATGCACCATTGAGCAACAGCACAAGAGGACAGGATATGATAGGCTAGATGGGCCTTTGGTCTGAACCCGCAGGCTTTTAGGTTCTTAGGTAGAAGCTGTGACTGGACAACAAGCCCACTAGCTAGTTAAATGCATGCTGTTCCAGCAGGCTGCCTCCAAGTTCCTTAAAATGGGCATCTCATTCTGTCATGTACTTGCTTGGGAATAGTGCTACGTCCTTTAGGCTCCCTTCTGCTGTCAGACAATGGAATTTTGAAATTCTTTCCCCTTGTAGTCTTGACGTGCTTCTTGGAGATATACAGATAAAACGATATTCTCCTAGAACAGCCCTCCCTCCCCAAACTGTGTATCTTTCAGTATAGTTGGTAATTATATTCCCCAGAAATTGGTATGGCCTGATGAGGATGTTGCAGCATTAATACCTAGCAAGCATAACAATGGTTTAGACCAGGCATGGCCAAACTTTGCCCTCCAGCTGTTTTGGGACTACAATTCCCATCACCCCTGACCACTGATCCTGTTAGCTAGGGGTGATGGGAGTTTTAGTCCCAAAACAGCTGGAGGGCAAAGTTTGGCCATGCCTGGTTTAGATGGTAGGTAGGCAAGCTGTGGCTTTTGCAATGACTGACTTTGGTGTTACCCAAGTTCAATGTGACTATCTCATAAACGTACCCAGATCACCCTTATACTGTTGTTGAACCTACCGCTAACATTCTGACAAGTAACAAAAGTGCAGATTCCTAAGTACCACAGAAAGACAACAAGCAGCTGCCCCCAATTCAGAAATTCTTGTACTGTGGCTTAAGCAAGTGACCAGATCGCAGAGTTGGAAAAATGTTTTGAATTCCCAACCCCTTGTATAACATTGTGGGTTACCAAGGCAACCAAGAACCTGGCCTTCTTCCCAGTCTTGCCTGAATTGGCACTCTGCATGGGAAGGGAAAAGGGGGCCAGGAAATGATACCTTCCATTAGATGCTGGTTGAAGCAGAACACATCCGTGCAAGCCTCAAGAGGGCTAGGGTGGCCTTCTCTAATATTGAGTCCTCAGATGGCTGATGGGAGTTGTAGTCCAACAATACCTGGGGGCTCAAGGCTGGACTAGGACATTGGTTGTGATCAGTGATGTGGGGCAGAAAATCCCCATTCCCCAAAATTCCATTACTTTTTTATGTGTGAAGAAGGTTTTCTGCTTGATACATTCATTAATAACAATGAATGGCCATTGTGAATACAATATTTGGCAGGCTCTGCAGTTTTGGGCTTTGTTAAATGCAAGTAGACTTGGGCCCTGTTTGCAGGCTTCACAGAGGCATATCTGGTTGACTACTGTGAGAACTGGGTGTAGAGCCTAGATGGACTTTGTCCTGATCCAACAGGTCTGTTGTTATGTCAACATACTAAATTAGGGCACAAGAGATTTTTCCAATGTAAATTACCCTAATCTGCATAAGAGAAATTTCAAGGGGAAAAAAATTCCAATTCAATCTTTGACCCTGATCTTGTGGCCACAGGAAGTACTTTACATAAACTTGTCCCAACTTGTTCCTAACTGATTTGATTATGTCCACTGGGCTGCTCTCTGGAGATCCTCAAAAGTCATAAAGCACCTGAAGATCCCTAGGCCTCAGTTTATAAATTGAAATATACTGTACATTGCTCTGTGTGACTTGTGTTTTCTGATTCTGCCAGTCACATTGCAGGCTGTTTTGCAGGAGGAGACTTCCTATTTTGAGCTGATCTTTAGGTCATGAGGGTTGGGAACGGTCCTTAAGACAAATGCTGTCTAACTTTGGAGTTGGGCTGATGGGGCTTTTTTTGGATGCTGACTTTTTTCTAATTTCTGCTTTCTCTTTCCTTCCTTCAGGTCTTAGTGGTGCAATGGCTAGTATAAGTGTTCGTTCGAGTACCCCGGGCTCACCCACTCATGTGAGCAGCGGCTCCAACAGTAGTCGAAGGAGAAATGGACTCCATGACGTTGACTTGAACACTTTCATATCCGAAGAAATGGCACTCCACTTGGACAATGGTGGAACTAGAAAGCGTACCTCAGCCCAGTGTGGTGATGGCATTACGGACTCCCCAACCCATAAACGCAATCGTATGATCTAAATGGCAAAACCTTTTGATCCCCACCTCTCCCTCTTCCTCATTTCCCCCCTCCCCATGCTGCTTTAAAGGCACTCGATCCGCAGCGTACCTACTGCTGGGGAAACAAACCTGAGGCGCTCTCCTCCCAAGTCACACAGATTCAATAATTGCCATAAAGGAAAGCTTACGTACTGACAGTAGATTCTTCTCTCGTAACTACAGCTTTCTTCAAATTTAGATTTCTTTAGCAGAGGACTTCCAATGTTGTGTAGTAGCTAGCAAGCTCATCGCAGGCAGAACATGCATCCGTTCCAAGGCTAAAAAGTGACCTTACTTGTACTCTTAAAGGGAAAAAGGAAATATCAGACATTTATTTGGTTATAGAAATGCTTTTCTGTCCTTTTTTTTCTTGCTGTGTTTAAATACTTGCTTCAACAGTACTGCCATTTTGACAACAGTGTCAAAAACATGACTTGGCATGTAAGACCTGCAGGCTTCTTTTTTTGAATATATATATATATATAAATATTTTCTTCTTAAAAGTTCTACTGGGCGCATTAATTTCTATATAGTTAAGTGTGCAAATTTATAATTAAGTATTGGCCTGTACCCTTTTTTAAGTTCCCAAAGCAGTTGATGGTGGCCGTGTGGTAATGTAAAGAGGTTCTACGATGGTTCTGCAATGGAAACTAAATCAGTGCTAAAAAGGATCTTCATTGGAATTGCTTTGTGTGTGTGAGAACTCTGACATTGCTGCACCAGTCTCACCTCCCACACCCTCCTGGCCCAAGAACTTTTAATTGGAAGTCTTTCAGCTGATTGCCCATTATTACTTGAGTATTCCCTTGTAAGCAATCAGCATAATTCTTCATTAATTGCCACAGAGGAACATGTTCTGTCACTGGCGAACAGGTGGCTTGGGTACTACATGACTTGTATTGTGTGCTTCCTGTGAAGAAATTATCATTGTGGAATGATGAGGAAATGGATGAATGGGACTAGTTTTTGTTTTTGTTTTTTAAAAGGATATTGGATGTTTTCCCACTATGTTGTGTGTGACTTCCAAGCCGCTTAAGGAGACATGACTTGAATCACCAAAGTCAGCCAGTGCAGGTCTTCCGACAGGGGCAAGATGTGACTGTTTTCAAAGTCCCATGAAATAAATTTCTCTAGGAAATAATCCTGAAATGTTTCCAGCGGCTTCAGTGCAATATGCAGCAGATGCAAACTGAAGGAAAAGTCTTGGGTTTAAGCTGGCCTGGCCTTGAATGTGAGCTAATAGCCAAGTTCTTGCCACCCTGGCCACACTGTGGCATCCTTGGTGAAGCAGGTTTCTGGCTGTACCATATTTTCTCAATGTCAGTCATGTGGTGTGTTTGATCAGCTAAGTGAACCTTGGAGAATGTTGAAGGGAGGCTTAGAAGAGGACCAGCATGTAAGGGCTATTCTCCTCCACCTGTGTGGGAAAGAAACCGATGACAGTGACCCAGTTTGCATGTAACGGTAAGTCAAAACAGTGGCTTAGTGCAACTGAGGAAGTGGGCTGGTTGGTTCCAGATTGCAGCTGTTACTCTCTTTGCCCAGTGAAGATAGACATGGTTGGCTTAGTGGTGCACCCGAACCTGGGCTTGCAGTGGGCAGACAAGCCATGAACTGTAGCCATGGTTTGTTCTTGGTTTCTCACTCCAGGAGAGACAAAACAACAGGCCTGATTTGGATGCAACACTAAGCCAAGCTATGGCTTAACCCAGGCTAGTGGGGCACCTTGGGCAGGGCGCTGTGGCTGCTGTTTTCAGTCCAGGGACCCTTGCACCACTTGTTCAAACTATTCACACTTAAGCCATGGTTTAGCTACTGTTATGTGTGAACTGAGGCAGTTGTTGCAGAAGGCCCCAACCAAGCCTAGTTCCTGAGATCTTCCCAGTCTTAAAATCAAGTGGTGAATGGAAGGATGTCTTGCCTACTTTCTGCTTCCATAACTGGGGGCTTTTTTAAGCAGCCTAGCCTGCAAGTAATTCAATTTAAACTTCTTGGCCTGGCCAGCTAGGCGGCATCAGGACCCTCTCTACACCGTATAATGCATATGCAAACCCAGGTCTCCACCCCCATGGTCACTTCCGCATTTCACTTAACAGGATGGAGAGCTCAAAATGCATGTGGATCTTCCTAGCTGGAAGCGCCCTGCAAATGGCTGTTGTGAGGCAGGGGAGGGGGAATCTGTGTATGCTTCGAATACCTACGGGGAACTCTGTTGGATGATGGGATGCAACAGCATGACTAGTTGGCTGGTACCGAGTCACAAGTAGCTCTTGAATTTTTCTGCCTTTTCAGCCTTGAGGTGTCCTGGCACAGGTGCCCTTTTGTCACCATTTAGAAGAAGTCTGCTTTGAACCACAGGGTACTCGTATAACTTCCTGAGGCCAGGAACATGCATTGCAAGAAGCATGTTGCTTTTTTGCTTTTGTAGAGCTTTTAAGTATTGCTAAAATACAAACAGCTTGGGGGAGTTGCTAAACAAATATTTTTTTTTAAAAAAAGTTACGTGGTGTTTGTGGCTACAGGTTTGTAGTTCATGATACTATGCGTGAATTTTAAAACAAACCCTGAGACGACACTTTCTAAAGGTTGCCAATGTATGTACAGCTAGTTCACTATTGTTGACCTAAAAAAAGTGCACCACGGCTTCTGTGTGACATTTGTAATTTGCATGTGGTCTAGAACTAGCTTCCATCGTGAGAATTCACACTGGTATGTGCCGTAGTGACTTAAGACCACAGTGCAAAAAAACCTGACTACCCACCAGCTTTTTATGCCAAAAAAAGTGGCACTTCAGAAACATAGGAGGAGACTGTTTAATTGAGAAGCCCAGAACACTGGGCAGAGTCTTGTATTTTTGGTAGCAGTCAGCCTGGAATGGACAAACGGCGCATAATATCGTCTGCCACTGCTATGCTCCCCAACCCCCTCACTCCTAAATTGATTTAGTTCATAGGTGTACAGAACTAGTAGAGGAAGGTTTTTCTAGGGCTTCACTAAACACTGGGTTTTTCTGATCAGTGGTATGTTTTCTCCAAAGTAGTTAAGTGAGGGCCAGCCCATAATGCTAGTTGGAGCAGGATACGATACGTTTGTTTTATCGCTTAATGAGTTTGAAAAGATTGAAATGTGGATCTTGATGTGTGGAGTTCTTCTTCCCTCAACCCCTATCAGATAGAATATAATAATTCCTCTGTTCACTAATGCTTTGAAGCTTTGCTATCAGTCTAGCTCCTCTGAACAAAATTTGTCAAGCGTTTTTTTATATTTTTGGTGCCATTTTTTTCCTTTTTGGTAAAAGAAAAGCTGGCTTTGATAATCTAGCTGCACTAATAGTGTGTGTGCTTGTAAGTCTTTCGACAAAATTTATTTTTACTGCTTTTTGAAACCCTTGTATTTGCTGTTGAAATATTCAGCCTCCTGCCAAAACAAACAAAAAGCTAGACTGCATGATGGCCTCATCTGGGAAATGGGTGTGTAACGAATTAACTTAAATGTCCAGTGTGGATTATTTCCATTGGTTGTGACTTCTGGAAGAATAAGACTATTGTAAAACAGACATGTTTAGCGCTTTGGGATGTGGTGGGAAATTAGTCGATTGCAGTTCCGCATTTTTACCTGGTTCAATTTGAATGCCTTCCAGTGACATTTGTCTCATCTCTTTCCCCATGTAAACCAAACTTAACATGAATGTGGGGCAGATTTTACATAATAGTGTATCCTGCATTGAAGCTGAGCTTGGCTTGCATATTACTAAAAGTTCAATTTAAATATTAAAACACATGAGCTATAATGAAGTAATGCAAAGCTGATTTTTTTCTTCTTCCTTTGTCTGAAACTGAACTCCTGCAATCCTCAAATGTGACTTACCCTGCTGGAGAAATAGATACCTTTTTAAAACCCTAATAAAATTCAAAATAAACCAACCTAGCTCGTTTGGTTTTTTAATACTTCTCTTCACTTTCTCTAGGCATCCGGAAAAGAGGGTGGGAAGTATCTCCAAACTCAAACGAGGTCAAACATAGCTTGTTTAAAATCTCACATTTATGGAGGACTAATCCTACTTGTAAGAAGAAGAAAAGGATTACCGGTAGTTCCGTTTTCTCAGTGTCCTGGAGACTTCTGAATGTGTTTAGCTGTGCTGTGACTGAATGTAAAGCTCTAATTTGTATTGTTTTGGATGTAGGACATGAGAATGTTTATACAGTTCTTCACATACATTGGGAGAACAGCCATAACTCTGTGGTAGAGCATATGCTTTGCATGCAGAAGGTCCCCAGTTCAAACCCTTCAGGTAAGGCTAACAAAGATTCTTGCCCAAAATGCTGGAGAGTTGCTGCCATCAGATCAAGGGGCCCCAGGGACCAAATGTGGCCATCTCCATCTGGGTCTTGGTGTAAGCTCAGGCCACAATCTTCATTGGCATTATTTAGTGCCCTGTGTTTACCTGACTGGAATGTGTCCTTGGATTCTGATAATGATCTTTGCTTGGCTGGATGGAAGAGAAAAAGAAAGGTAGGTATGTCTGTAGAAACTAGCCTATTGTACAAAGGTAAAAATTTGGCCTCTGGCCTGACCCACCACTGGCCTGTGGCTCCTGGAAGACAGCCCATAAGGAAAGTGGTCCCAGGGCTGGATTAACCAACATTACCCATGTTAGTTGCTACCGTAATGCTAACATGCATAATGTTCTCCACCCGCCCCACACTAGAGGGACCAAATGATCCAACTTTATATTACATTTTTATGAACGTTATTGCCACCATTGTTTTAACATAATGTGTGTTTGTTATGCAGGACAGTTACTGCCTGTTTTCACACGGGGTTTTTTGCGCTGAGTCTGTGAATATAATATCACTCCTGAAGCTGCCTGCCCAGAGGCTGGGATTGAATTGCTTTGTAACGGCGCATCCTTTCTCTGCTTCATAAAAGTAGCAGAAGTTTCATGGAATGAGAAGAAAGTGAGCTATAAAGGGATGGTCTAAAACATTGCTTCCCAGAAGCAGTGGTTCACAGACCATGAGCCACCAGCTGCTGGTCCACAGTGACTCCACCACAACACAGTTGGGTGGGACACTTAAAGGACAAAATCTGGCACACTGACTGGTGGGGAGTGCCACTCTGCCACATCAGATAGTTTGAGATGCACAGGTGTAAAAGTCCCTGTTGTTAAAGGAGAAGGAAGTCTTTCAGGCCCAGATGGCCAGATCTGTGTTCTCACCCTACAGGTCAACTTTTACCAGTGTGCAGAGCTACCCACCTGTCAGTAATGTGGCATAATAATGATAGGCGAGTGAGATGGTTAGTCCCACCCACTGAGTGTGGGGAGGGATCTGCTTCACCTAGTGATGGCTGATTGACAGGTGGTTGTAGTTTGGGGGGAAACAGGCTTGTGGGCCAACATTCGCCTGTAGAGTGCGGACTGGAGATTCTCCATCCCTGATAGTTCATCTCACTTGTAGGATGCACAGACACATGTCAACTTGGGTAACGGAGACCTCTGTGTGTTGCATGTACAGGCAGTGTCATTGGCCCAAGCCATAAAATAGGCAGAATGGAGGGGAAACCAAGTCCCTGTCAAATCTGATCCTGTGTGTGGGAGGGGATTCCTTCTAAAATGGGTAACCTTTTGTTCTTGATAATTGATTGTGACAGTTCTCACATTTGGTTGTAGACTTCTCTGAGCAAGTTGTAGACTTCTCCCTGAGCCCAGGCCTGTGTATGTGGTGGCTTTTTCCTCAAAGCTACCCTGTGAGGTTTGGAGCAAGAGTCGACATGCCCATGGCCTCTGGGTGAATTTCAGGACTAGGAATTTGAACCCAGGTTTTGCTAGGCCACGTGTGGCATTATAGTACATGGGTGTGGAATTCAGAATCGCTCTTGACACAGTTGCACACGGACCTCCATTTCCTTCCACCAAATTACAGCAAAGTCATCAGCACTGGGTAGCCTCCATGCTGAAGATATTTCTGCACCAAGAAAAGGTATTTCTGCACTAAGAATACATGTAGTGTTCTAGTCCTGCCCCCATGCTCCTACCAGACTTACTTGGATGGCCACCTCTCTGGTTTCCAAGACCAGCTGCCATTGGTTGCATGATTTTAAGAATGCCTTCGCAAGGGAAACTTTTTTTAAAAAAAACTTTTTATTAAAGATTAAGCCCAGCTGCTGGGGGTCCTGTGTTCATGCCGAGTAAACATATTCCGTGTTTCCGGGCAAGTATTACATACAACTAGCCTTGTATTTGGCCAAAGTGTGGATTATGTCCTAAAGTAATACTTCTGGGTCAGCAACTGCTTCTAATCTTAATCACTCATTCACTGGTTCAGTGCAAATGTATGCAAGAGAAAACCCATGAATTGGCTCAGCAACTCCAGACTGCTATGCTGCCTGTGTGTCATTTATGGCCTAAATCAACACCACCCCACCCCCATTTTTCTTGCAGGAGTGTAGGAAGTTGTTTTGTACGGAGTCAGACCATTGGTTCATTCAGCTCAGTATTGTCTATACCTGTGATGGGGAATCTGTAGCCATCCAGATGAACTACCAAGACATGTTGGCTGTGCTGCCTGGGGTTTTTAGAGTTAGTGCAGCATCCAGAGGGCCACAGGTTCATAATCTCTATAGTCTACTGCAGTTTGCCAGGGTTTTTGAGATTGTGTGTGTGGGGTGTGTGTGTGTGTGTGTGTGCTTTCCCAGCTGCAGCAAAGAGCCATTGCTCAGTAATAGAGCATCTGCTTTGCATGCAGAAGGTTCTCTGGTTCAATCCCAGGTTTCTCCAAGTAAGGCTGAGAGAAGGCTTCTGCCTGAAACCCTAGAGAGCTGCAACCACTCAGTGTAAATGGTTCTGAGCGAGATTGACAAATAGCCTGCCTTGGTATAAGGCAGCTTCCTGGAGATGACTGGACCTGCTGCAGGCAGCTCATGCTTGACCTTTGAGCTGGAGCCCTTTCCCAGATTCCAAGGAATCTGACTTACTGTCCCTTCTCCTTTTCTCCAAAAAAGTGAATTGATTTGTCTGTCCGGACTTAAGAACACAAAAGGAATCCATGTCCCCTTTAGTCCACCCTGCAAAGCCAGAAATGGGATCCCTCTATGTGATGCCCCTTCTCCTGGCATTTGAGGGGGTCATTAGACCCACAAAGTCACATTGGTGCTGAGCCACTCTGCTGTTACCACTGGGGCTGCAGGCAGTGTGCTAGCCCATTCAAACAGGAATTATTACTGTTTAGTTTATTACCTGCACTTTACTCTTAAGATCCCAGGGTGGGTTACAAACTCTTGCAGTACAACCTTAAAAACAGCTTTAAAAATTTGCAATTACAAAACACGCAGTCACATAAAGGTAGACTTACATCTTGGGTGGCAAAGGCCAAGGTAAAGAGACTTGCTGTCAGCATTGTCTGAAAGCTGTCGTGATGTTGCTAGATGCATCTATGTAGGGAGGGAGTTGCACAATTTAGGGGCTGCCACAGAGAAGGCACTCTGGAGCCATACAGCCTGAGCTTCTGAGGGTGGTGAAGCTAGTCTCCCACCTTGATCATCTTAACACCTGAAATAGTCTGTTGGGAAGGAGGTAGTTGAGGCTTAAGACTTTTACGACTTTAAACACTAACCCGATCACCTTGAATTAGACCCGGAAATGAACTGGCAAGCAATGCAGCTGTTTTAAATGGATTATATTTGTGGCAGCTGCCTTTTGAACCACTTGGAAGTTTTCACATCATTTGCAAGGCCAGCTCCACTGAGAGCACATTGTAATAATCCATTCCAATCCTCCCAGTTGCCCCCAGCTATTGTGCCAGTAGAGTTGTAGAACTCAAAAAGCCGTAGGGGAGGTTAGAGTTTTCAGCTAAGCTGACATGAGTAATCCTTGACAGACATCTCCAAGTAGGGGTGGAAATAACTATTTTCACTCCTCTTTATAAATCCCAAACTGGCCTGCAAATTCTCACCACTTGGCCAGACAATTGTGTTTACCTACAGACTGCCCCAAAAGGGGACTTGTATTCTCCAAGATGGTTTACTACAACTCCCATCAGCCGGAGGAATATGCTGCTGTGCATACTGGGACTGATGGGAGCAAAAAGTCCAAAAAGCAGCCATTTATGTTGATAGGATTTGTACTTCAAGCACCACCTTGTGGGCAGCTGTCAAAATACATTAACTAGGACTCTTCTGATACCATTTATCCTACAAATGTTAGCTGGAAGTACTTGGTCTGGTGCAACAAGTTGTTTCATTTGCTGCTTGAAATGGAAGTTGTGAATAAACAAAACCCTTTGCATTAAAACAAAAATACCAAACTTGTTCCCTGGAGAAGAGCCTTATCTTGGTAGCGCCCCTGCTTTGCAAGGAGAAGGTACCTGGTACCTTCTAACCCATGGCATCTCCAGAGAGGGCTGTGAAGGACCTCTGCCGGAAATCCTGCAGAACAACTCTCACTGGATAGCACTGAGTTTGGACCAGTGGTCTGACTGCAATGGTCTCATCAATCAGTGGTAGAGCCACCTGTATTGCAGGCAGGTCTCCTGTCCAGTCCCTTGCATTTCCAGCTAAATGCTGGTCTAAAAGAAAGAAGACCTGTTCCCTGGAAAGCTGGTCTGATATAGACCAGCAATCTCCATTTTTAAACCTTCCTTGGACTGCTTGAAGATTGCTGTGCCTGCAGCAGATCCCCGAACAAACTATTTTGCTTTGCACAGGAAAGCACTTAATATATTTCAATAACTTAAGTTTCCAATTTAATGGATGTGTCTGTTTTTGAAAGTTGTTCAATATTGGATTTAGTGACATTTGATGCTTAGGTTGTTCTCCCTATCGGACTTGATGAATTTTCTCTTTCAAATGTCCTCTCCCCACCCCCCAAACAATAAATCCAATTTTATGGGTTGACTAGGATCCTGTACAGATAATTGGCACACGTTTTGTAAATTCATGTACTTTTCAAGTGACAGCAGTGGAAACGAACAGAGGTGCCTCCATCAGTTACACTACAATAGAGGTGGGGGGGCCCTTTCCAGCCCCAAATCCACATTCCCTTGTGGTGGGAGCCACATGGCAGTGGAGGGGGTGGCTGGAGCTAAAAGTGGGGGCAACTCATTCGATGCATGCAAGCAAGGGTTTCCTTACATTTCAGTGGCATAGTGCAGCCAGGCAAAGCCATGAGGGATGTGGCCTATACCTCCCAGGAGACATATAAAGGGGCCTGGAGGAACACATCTGACTCTGGGCTTGATGATTCTAGGCCCTGAGGCAGCCATAAACTATGACAGCTTTGTTTTTCACACCTCAGTTTCATCATGTGCTACAGCTGCTGCCCACTTGATGTCCAGCTCTGATTCTATGAGCCGATGCTTCACCTTTTCTTTTTTTTGCCACTGACACGTGCCCCTCAGAAGGGTCTAGGTTGAGAAAGTTTCCCCACTGCTTGCCTAAGATCTCCTGTGAGTTCAGAGCTTTGAGACGAGATCTATTTTTTAAAATACTGCCCTTTGATTAAAATTAATTCCAGGGGGAAGGTTTTGTAAGATGAAATTAAGCAATAACAAAAAATTGACTAAAACAATTGCAAAGCAATTGAGGACAACAGTGGGAAGCCCCATTGTAATTACAGCACAAGGAAAAACAAAGCTGAAATGATTATGATGCTGCTATATTTTTGATTTTACTAACAGGGCAATTTGTAGCCACATTGATTAGTGCACTGGGGGCTCAGCTCCAGAATCCTTCCTTTTGCAAATGATATTCCCAGCCCTGTCGCCCCATTGGCTCGCTGCAGTCTCCCTAGGCGACAAGAGGCCGTGTCAGGCCTAATGGAACATTCCCCACGTGGCTCATTGGCTTCAGGCGTCACCAGGGGCAACAGGACAACACGGAGCCTCAGCAAGGCTTTGCAGTTTTCTCGTAGTAGGTGAGCATCCCCAGTGAGCCTGGGGACTTTCCTGGCTGGGGGAATCCTCTTTGTGGAGTTCTCTTGGACCCGTGGTTGGCCTGAAGAGCTACTGGCACCATGTCTCACCCTGGTATCCTCCTGACCAAGGAGCCGGCTCCTCAGACCATCCCCGTTTGTGAGCTGCCCATGAAGGTCTACGAGCCGGCACTGAACACTGGCCCCGATTCCTCCAGTGGTTTGGCTACTGCTGGCTTCCGCACGGCCAAGTACCTGCCTGAGGAATGGCACCAGCACAACTACGCCCGGTACCACGAGGCCTTTGCTGACCGCGACCACTCCGAGCGAGTCCGCCTCGAGTCCCAGAACGTGGCCGCCTTCACGGCGGAGCTGGCCCAGCGCACCCAGGAGGACTCCACCGTTAAGGTAGGCGAACGCCTCCAGGACATCCACTTCTGGAAGTCAGAGCTCCAGAGGGAGATTGAGGACCTCACGGAGGAGACGAACCTGCTGGCAGCCCAGAAGCTGCGCCTGGAGAGGGCCCTCGACGCTACTGAGATCCCGTACAGCATCGCCACAGACAACCTGCAGTGCCGTGAGCGCCGGCAGCCTCCCGATCTGGTGAGGGACCAGGTGGAGGTGGAGTTGCTCAAGGTAGGACATTTCCTTATTCATTCTGGGCTCAGGACAAGGGGTTGGTTTGGACCGATAAAACATCAGGACATGAAGGACCGCTTCCCCTGATCTGGCCCCTGCGATCACTCTAAGCACTACACCACACTGGCTCTCAAGGGGCAATGTTGTTGTGGCCTCATTTCTTTTGGGGAAGCATCACAGCTCAGTTGAAGATCCCCTGCTTTGCATCTTCAAAAAGGTAGGGTTCCTGTTTGAGCCCCTGGAGAACTGCTACCAGTCAGTGGAAACAACACTAAGCTAGATGGACTGATGGTCTGACTCGATGTAAGGTTATATATCCCATGTCCCTAACAGGAAGCAGCCAAAGCTTTAAAAAGTCCCAGGTTCAGTCCTTGACATCTCCAGGTGAGGCTGGGAGCGGTTCCCTGCCTGAAACCCTAGAGAGATGCTGCCGGTCAAATAGAGACCAGTGTGTATATTTGCATGCATTTAAAACCTGCCTACGGGAAGCACTGTGTCCGGAAGAGAAGTGAACCCCCCCCCATTCCCAGATCCACATGTTACCTGGCCCACTGCCAGGTTGGTCCAGAGCTTGGGGGCGGGGACATGTCACAAGGGTTGTGGTTTAGGGCAGGCCCTGTTGCCACTCCTGAAGTGCTTTAGTCCTCTGGGGGGCGGGGAGAGATGGATGCATGTGCAGAAAAGGTGGGGCAATCTTGTCAATGACATTTATTGTTGAGCCACACTACTCCCACTGGTGTGAATGAAATTTGGCGCAAATTGCTGGCATATTGGTCAAAAAGCCACAGTTCCATCACACAGCCGTCACTGCAGTGTGGAAGGAACATTAGGAAATGGGACAGAAGGGCTAGTGTTATAATCAGGAAAACTAATGCAATTATATCCTGTGGCTGAATGCACCTTATTTCTCCATACAAAACAAGTGAAAAATAGAAGAAGCACAGTTCAGCTTTGGAGAATATAATAGCCTTAATATGATATCTAAAAGACACTCACGTTGAGTTGAGGGCACTGAATGCCCAAACTGGAATGGCTATTGCATAACCTTTGGAAGTTTGGGGCACCCAGAGAAGAAGATTGGGCAGTTCCTATAAGACAGCCTCCCCCAACCTGGTGCCTTCCAGATGATTTGGACTACAACTCCCAGCAGCCCCAGCCAGCTGCTAATCTCTCTACCGCTTTTATCTAGGAAGCTGAGCTCATCAGAAACATCCAGGAGCTACTGAAACGAACTCTGAAGCAAGCTATTAACCAGATACAGTAAGATCCCTTTCCACTGTTGCGGGTTGCTGGTGTTCTAACTAACTCTTGAACCTAGTCCTGGTGTAACATGTGATCAATCGGGAGGAAAATCAAAGCATTGTGCTCTGCAGAGGGTGGTATGTGTGAACTGATGTCTTGTAACTTTGGTATCATGTGCCCCTATGCAGAGCCTGGTGATGCACAGTCCAGCCAGCATTCTGAAGCTAAGCAGTTCTGAGTCTGGTCACTGTCTAGATGGGAGACCAAATGACAGACAGACAGACAGACAGACAGACACACACACACACACACACACACACACACACACACACACACACCATCTTTCAATTCATGATAGAAGCAAGGTGGGCGTAGAATTGAACTAATTAACTAATAAGTGTGCGAACTGCTTTGCAAATGGTTGTGATTGTGATGATAAAACAATGATAATAACAAGACAAATCTATCTGCGTGTTACTAGAGTCCTAGGAGATTAATGGTTCATTGCACCATTGATTGGCATGAGACTTTTTAGTGGACCACAGTAGACTTGCCTCAGGGATTCATGCATGAATAACCTCCTGTCTGGACTGCTGCAATCTAGTCTTCATGGAGCTGCCCTTGGAAGCAGCCTGGTAGCTGTAGCTGTTGCAGAATGCAGCTGCCTGGCTGTTGTGCAGAGTACATATCCCCCTTGGCTGCCTGTGAAATACTGGGGTATTTCACAATTAAGGGATGCTGGTATCAAGTGTACAAAGCCCAGTTCCTTCTGAGCTGGCTGTGTTCCTACATCCCCGGGGTCTTCAGCTTAGTGTAATGCCATAAGACCTTGTCCCCTCCTTCTGGAGCTGTGGATAAGTTCATGGTAAGAGCATAGTTGGTTGGCTACCAAACTGAGCCAAAACTAGCCCCATCCTAATGTTCGATTTCCTTTACTATAATAAACACTGTATATCTTTTTACAGGGAAAATGTGTTCTTATAGTTGCCACCAGATGGCACTATGAACTAAGAAACAAGAGAACACACAGGCAAGCTGCAGAACTGCTTTGGATAATATGGAAAGGGATGGTTTCGGGGAAGAATATCATCCATGATTGAAGCTTCCTGTCCCCCACGCTTGCTTGTAACATCCACGGCAGAGCCTGTGTCCCTCTCACACTACAGTAAAATATATATGAAGCTTGTGTGTAGCACTGCAGGAGGAAAGAACACAGCTCCCCCTTTGGGCATCCTGGAAAAATGCAAACAACTAGAAACTTGAAGCAGAATTGGAGGTTTCTGGTTTCCTAAGCCGCATAATGCCATTGTCCCATAGCACAAATGTATGGATTTGCCTTGCAAATAAGTCTGCAGGGAACCTTTGGCCCTCCTGATGTTGTTGGACTACAGCTCCCTTCAGCTCAGCTAGCCTGGCCAATGGCTGGGGATGATGGGAGATGTAGTCTAGCCACCAGGAGGGTCACAGGTTCCCCTTGTCGGCAGAATAAAAAAACTCTGCCTCATTTTGCACCTGCCAGGCTGGCTTTTCCCAGACACTTTTTAAAAACATTTCTAACATTCTTGGCAAATATGACTGTCTCTAATTTTTATATAAAGTGAGATCTTGATGTGTACCCTGAATTACTTGATTTGCCTTTCTCAAATTATGTTCCAATTACTTTTAATTGCACTCACTTGAGCGTGTGTCAAGGATGGATTTTGCTCTTGGGTGAGCATTTCAGTCTGAAATGTTCTCAGTATTGCATAACGTAATGTTAAGGCTGATGGCTTGTACATTCTGGGTTGGAACTGCCACCAGGTATCATATGGAGAGATGGAAGGAAAGGGCCTTTTTTGAATATTCACTGGGATTCGAATCCAACAGTGAAATCTATCTATGAATAGCAACTTTTCCCATGGGGATCTAAATGGAAGGGTTTTCCCCTAGAACTGGTGTCAAACCATGTGCTCCTGAAATAAGGTACTTTATGTATGAAGGCAAATCTCAGGGCTCTCCAACGTTTTCTCACTGTTAGGTAACCTTCTCCATTCTGGTGTCCTGCAGATATCTTGGGGAATACATCCCTTCCAACATTCCTTGGATGAAAATAAGGGCATTTCTTACTCCCTCCCTAACTGACCAGCTAGTGTGGTATAGTGGTTAAGAGCAGTGGACTCATAATCTGGTGAACCGGGTTCAATTCCCTGCTCCTCCACATGCAGCTGCTGGGTGACCTTGGGCCAGTCACACTTCTCTGAAGTCTCTCAGCCCCACTCACCTCACAGAGTGTTTGTTGTGTTGGAGGAAGGGAAAGGAGACTGTTAGCCGCTTTGAGACTCCTGAAGGGGAGTGATAAAGCGGGATATCAAATCCAAACTCCTCCATTTTGTGTTCCTCCTCTGAGCATTTCCTGTCAGAAGATGGGTGAGGGCCACCAGCACGCAACACGAATGGGACACAGCACATATGTCATCCACCATCCTGAGAAAACCTTTTCATCTCCATTTTATCTTATTTTATTCTTTGGTAGAATTGCAAAAAGAAGAACACACGCCAAGAAATAAGTTTTAGAAAGGGGCAAGATTAAATGCAGATGCACAAAGTTATATATATATATATATATATATATATATATATATATATATATATATATAAAGACTCCTTGCGCTCTGCTCCAGCTATCGGATTGGCTTTCGTAATTCTGGGTCTGTTATTGGAGGGTATGGGAATACAATTCTGGAAGCTCAGCCATGCTGGCTGGTGCTGATGGGAGTTGTTACCCTAAACACGGCAGCACTGTCTGGGGCTGATGGGATTTGTAGTCTGAAACATCTGGAGGGATGCTAGGCTGGGCAAGGCTGCTGTTAGGCATTCAGTACCTATTTAGATGGGCTGCTCTCTGAAACACAAATCTCTGAGGAACTGAGCTTCACAAGGTTTTCTTGGGCTGACTAAAATTGGGTGTGTAGGTTGCATTTTGCCCACAAAACAAAGGTGAATGGTGTGGAAGGGGTGTGCTTTCAAGGCCCCCCTCCATTCTGAGGTTTGCGGTGTTTGATTCTGCAGATTAAATCGCGATCACAAGGAGATCTGTGAAATGGACTGGTCTGACAAAGTTGAAACTTACAACATTGACGAGAAATGTGGGAGGTACAATAACCAGAGCACGAACATCCAGTTCCATCCAAGCACATCAAGGTTTGAGGACAGGTGAGAACCTCTGGATCACCTACACCTGGGAAGGAAGGCGGCACAGAGTAAGGAATCCATTGTATCCACCCTTAGGTGTCACCATTTGTATAGTTGATAGATACTTGCAGTGGCCGCTGGAGCCCACTGGTAGGAGGGAAGGCCAGGAGACCAACAGCAGGTGGCGCCAAAGCTGATGACAGGCATAGCCAACTAATTCTTGTTTTGTAACTATCCCCTCTGCTGAGTTGTACAAAGGCAGAATTGAAGCTATAGAGGAAGCTGATAGGGAGGGCTGCCCCACTGAACTGGTTGCAAGTAAGAAAGGTGGGGGCGGGGCAGGCTAAAGGCTGAGGTTGCTGGGCCCACTCATCCCAATGGACTAACCTCTACAGGATGAAAGCTGCTCAGTGACCTTCACAGCTTGAGTAGAGATTCGAACCTGGGTCTCCCCAAAGTCCAACAATTTACCCAACACATCGTCCCCATCCCTGGTGAGGTGAGCAGAACCATACACAGTCTCTTAAATGTGAATGCCCCATAGATGCAGTCCAGATAGATGCAGTCCCAAAGATGGGACGCAGGTGGCGCTGTAGTCTAAACCACTGAGCCTCTTGGGCTTGCCGATCGGAAGGTTGGCGGTTCAAATCCCCGTGATGGGGTGAGCTCCCATTGCTCAGTCCCAGCTCCTGCCAACCTAGCAGTTTGAAAGCATGTCAGTGCAAGTAGATAAATAGGTACCGCTGTGGCAGGAAGGTAAATGGCATTTCTGTGTGCTCTGGCTTCCATCATGGTGTTCCGTTGCTCCAGAAGCGGTTTAGTCCTGCTGGCCACATGACCCAGAAAGCTGTCTGTGGACAAACGCCAGCTCCCTCGGCCTGAAAGTGAGATGAGTGCCACAACCCCATAGTCACCTTTGACTGGACTTAACTGTCCAGGGCTCCTTTACCTTTTTTATCTTTTACTTGCAGTCCAGGAGTGGGGCCCAAATGCCACCCTCTGAACTTCTCTGTCTGGCCCTTGGAAATCTCCTCAGGCCTCCTTGATTTTTGCCAGGCTGGAATGTGTCCTTGAACCTTGAGGATACCTGAGGAGAGACAGCAGTGTGTACATCTGTGTAGAAGCTAGCCTACTATACATAAGCAATGTTTGCATCATTTCCTCTGCCCACGTTTGCTTTGGGCCCTGCCCACCACTGCCATGTGGCATTCCCGCTCCCCACAAGAAGAGAACATGGCCCGCAGTCTGACAAAACATCCCCTAGCCCCGTTTGGAGATGGCGGACGTTGTGACGCTCACCGTTTTGTTTCCCATCTCCTCCTGCCCTCGCCGCTCCTCCCCGGGGCCCATGCCACAGTGCTTCCACGCCCGAGACGTGGGCCAAGCACAGCCACGACAACATCTACCGGGCCGAGCGAGAGAAGCTGGCGTCCATCAATCTCCGTGCCCTGATCGACAACATCCTCCGCGACACAGCTGAGGACCTCCGCATGCAGTGCAACCGGGTGAACGACGCCTTTGCCCAGCAGTTGGAGGTGCTGGAGGATGCCAAGCACAAACTGGAGCACCACCTGAAGAAAGTACGCGGCCCCTTTGCTATGGCCCAGAGCGGGAGAAGCTTCCTGGATTGGTCCACTCCAAATATCAGCACTGGGTTTGGGGGGGCGGTTGCTTGAGCAAGGCGGCTTCCCTCAGTGAATCTACTTCTTCAGGGGGAGACATGCCCTACAAGTGTCCTGGGGAAAAACGAGGACATCCCGTTTCCCCCTGTGAGAGCACAGCCATTTTGGGCGCCATGATCTCGCACGATTTAGTGCCCCCCAATCTCGTGTCAAGAACACGAGTTTTTGAGTCCTAGAAAAAGCGTGTCCTTTTGGGCTCTGTGATCTCTCATGGGAGAACAGACAGGAAGACGCATGTTTCAGTTTCGGGACTCAACTTGTTGGAGGGTATGACATTGACAGTGGCAGCTTGACAGATACCTGACTAGGCTGGCCCTTGGCACTAGCCCAGGCATGCCGTAAAGCAGGGCTAGGAAACCTAAGGCCTCTGTGTGGCCTGTATAACTGTCCCTAGGCCACAGGCCCTCACTGGGCCTGCTTCATATCCTCCTTGAGTGCTTTTGCTTGGCTGGAATGTGTGTCGTTGAACTCCCATAATGCCCCTTGCTTGCTTTGATGGAGGATGTGTGGAAACTAGCCTACTGTACAAAGGTAAAATTGATATTTATTGCTCCACCCCCCCTCCTTTGTCTTGCTCTCCGGCCAGGAGCATATTGTTCTCTGGTAGAGCTGACTTGCCCCCTGCTCTCCATCCAGCATTCACCTCAAGAGAGATTCAAATGAGAAACACAGGGAGATTGGAGGGAAGAAAATAAGTGTTTGGGCAAGTTGAGCAAAATTTCTCCTGGGAGGTGGGGGTCCCCAGTGGGCACCATAGGAGGCGGTAGTGGGGATGTTGGCAACCTGTGGTTTAGTGTTAGGTGAGAACCAGGCCGCTGACAAAGCTACAGCCAGTGCACTTTACACCTGCAAATTAGTTTCCATTTGAAGGGTTGTGGTATCCTCCTTGTTTTCAGAACAGCCTCTCTAATTGAAGCGTTGACTCTGTCTCCAGTATTGACTTATCACCAACACCACCCTTTGCATAACAGGATACTGCAAACAGATTTACCGTACTTCTCTGTGTTTAAGACGAGGGGGTTGTCTTATACACTGATAGTGCAGAGGGGGGTTGGGCGATTGGTGTCCGTCACGAGCAGGAGATTGTCAGCGGTGTTTGGGCGGGTGATTGGTGGCCTGCTGGTGATTGGCTGCTGTGGCGGCATTTTTTTGGGCGATTTACGGCTGCTGGCGATGAGCGGGCATACCAATAGCGGCTTCAGCGTGCGATTGGCAGCGGCAGTCAGACGGGTGAGCGATTGTCTGCAACCCCCCCCCGAAAAAGCTCAAGAACTTTTGTCAATTCCCCCCCCATTTCCTTAATTTGGAGTCCCAAAAAATAGGGGTCATCTTATACACGGGGGCGTGTTATACACGGGAAAATATGGTACTTTGTGTATAAAAGACTTGGAATCTAAATATGCCCCAAAGTGTCCCCCTCCCCTTTCTACATATGTGCTGGAAGCCGCCAGGGGTGGCTGGGGAAACGCAGCCAGATGGGTGGTGTATAAAATAATAAAATTATTATTATTTATTTTAATTATTTTAAAACAGACTCTTAAGGAAATTGGCGATCAAGAGCACAACATTGAAGCTCTCAAGCAGGCTATTAAAGACAAGGAAACTCCACTCAAGGTAGCTCAGACGAGGCTCTATGACCGTTCATTCAGGCCCAATGTGGATCTCTGCAGAGATGCTGCCCAGTTTAGGTAAGTGTTGTTCCAGCCTGGGGGTGGGGGGTTTGAGGGATTTTTTTTTAAAAAAAATCTGTGCTAATTTTTCTGTGAAATAACCTAATTTTCACTAACCTAATGTGCACGTTGGAATAGAATTACCCAGCAGATTTTGCACTTCTCTGAAGGTGGTAACATGATTCTCAGCAACTTAAATATTCCTTTTTGCCAAAAAAATGCGTATATGGGAGAGATATGAATTTTAAGTCCCATTTTCAGAGAAAATATGCATTTAAACATGAATTCTGGAAAAATGCCTTTAAATATACATCAAAGGGTGTGTGTGAAGCCCATTTAAAACACTTCTTTTGGAGAGAAAATACACTAACACATATTTTGACTATTTTTCATAAAATATGCTGATAGGTTTAAAATAATTCATAGGTTATTGTGGATATAGGGCAGAATGGGATTATGGGTAAAAATATGAAAGAGGCCAGAAACAGATTCATTCGATTTCATTTCAAGCACTTTTGCTTTGCTGGCCAGCCATGATGGATAGCAGCTCTGAAGGGGGAGGACTGGGCTGGAGTTGCGGAGTGGGGTGACCCCCATTTTTTTGAGTTTTTAAAATTTATTACAAAAACACCAAAAGAAATCCTCCCTGGATATCAATTCCGCCTTTGAAATCCCTGTAATGTATGGCCGCTCTACCTTAAATCAAACCATGGCCTCCTTTGGGTGTCGTTTGATGGAACAAAATGCACCAGCAGATCTGATCGGGGAACTCTAAAGTGATGCGCAGTTTGGCTCTCAAACTGCCCAAGAAGATCAGGTCCAAGGATGGGCCACTCACTATCCAGCTTGATTCAGATGTTACATTGAATGATGTAGCGGCAAATTAAGAATACAGGATCCCTTCGTGATCATCGCAGCCACTCATCCTCACAGCCCCTTCTAAGAATTCACATTAATATTAAAAATATACAATGGTATGAACTTGGAAGGCATTGCAATGTTCTATTCAGATCTCCATGTGTTGCCCTTCAGCTACATCTACTAGTTTCTGTGCCTATATGTGGGCAAATGATTCAGAGTGCTCCAATACATCCTTTTGGAATGACTTAATTTTCCTTGAAGTTCCGTTGTATGTAATATTTTCCTTGAAGTTCCATTGTACGTAACAGAACCTGCACACCAGTCCCTTGAAACTGGAGCCAGTGTTCCTAAACACTTAGCTTTGGAGCCTACAGAATAACAACCCTTTGGTGTTCTTCCTGCGCATCTTCTCCAGAAGGACCCTAGGAGCCAATCCTCAGAGGCTGACTCACCTCCTTTACTCTGATTGGCTCTTGTCAGCACAAAGGGGAGAAAGTCATCTTCTTGGGGATGAGAAAGCTCCCCTTTCATGCTGCTTGAGTGGTTCTAGGATACTGGAGACGGGGACCTTGTTGGGACCCTGCTGAAGAAATAGTAACAGGTCTTTGATACACAGACACACACAGACACACACACACACACACACACACACACACACACACACTACACCTGGTTATATAAGCAGCATAGATGCTACCAGGAAACTGATCTGCATGGGCCTATCTCTGTGTTTAGACAAGTGCTTTGTGGTAGTTTTGTGTGAGTGAGACAGAATTCTAACAGTTCCTCTTAAGTTCTGGTTAGCAGACTCACTTGCAGAAAGGTACTTGAGGGACGAGGAGACAGACTGTACACTGTACGTAGGGTACAGGATTGTACAGAACAGATTGATTCCAAGTTGCAACATATTACTAATACATCCTTTAAAAACCTACACACATACACTATCTTTTCACCCCAGTGCTTCTAATTGCGGCCTGTCATTACAGCAGAAAGGTTATCTACAACTCTTGAGTGCAGAGGTAACAAAGTGGGCATTTATCACCTTGCAAACATGTTTGACGGTGGGGAAGGGGGACTGTCAACACTGTACGTCTCCCGTCACCAACATGTTTGTACAAAACAAACACGCAAGAGGGGAAAAAAGGGAGAAGAAAAGGCTGAAATTGCTTGATGCCTTTTCACCTGCCGGTCTTCTAAATTAGAAACGGGCTCCAAGGAGAGATAGGCCTCTGCCTTAGAAGATGTTCGCTAGACATGTAAAAATGGCTTGCAATTCTCATTCCCCGTATTACAAAATTGATTTTGTATGAGCCATAAACGATATAGCCTGGTTTTAGTCCAGAGGCAAATGCAAATGAAGGCAAGGAGAACTGCTGACCAGTCTAGATCTGAAGCTCCTGCTTTGGATGAAAGATTCCTCTTTCATGTGAGATTGGATTACTCCAATGCACTTTTATGTGGGCTGTCCCTTGCGCTTGATCCAGAAACTATTGCTAGCCTAGAATGCTGTGGCACAATTGCTGACAGGAGTGAGACCCCGTTAGCATAGAGACAGACATTTACTATCTGTCCAAGTTGTTGTTATTGCTATATAAAGCCCTTAACAACTTGGGGCCACTTTACCTGTGAGAGTGCGACAAATTGGAAGAGTGACAAAGTTCCGTCGAGATCAGAATGGATTCAAAAATTGGCCGAATATGAGGAACTAGATAGCTTGTCAGAGAAAATAAAGAACATACCAAAACAGGTATTTACTTCAAGATGGGAAGTCTTTAAAACTTATTTGAAAAATAACAATTGTAGTTTAAGGTCAGTTGCAGCCTTCGAATAATTTCAGCAGTAGTCTTAAGTATGATGTAAAAGATAAGACAGATCAAAGATGATCAAACTTTAATAGAACTTGTGGCAGTGTATAAACAATGAGAATTTGAGGTGGGGAGTAAACGGGAAGTCTGGTCGACAGAAAAAGACGATTATTATTTCAATATTAGGAGAATATTTGTTGATGTATCAAGTTTTCTTTCCTCCCCCCCCTTCTCTTTGTGGTGATGGATAATTGTTTTGTTTTTTTGTTTGATGTGTAAAAGTGAATATATATATATATGTATTATTAACAGATCTGGAAAAAAGAAAAGAAAAAGAGATTGCGTTATCCACATATATGCCCACTTAGCTGCTTCAATCTGTGAAACTGACACTGTTACAAGCACCACATAATACTCATTCTGCACTTGTAGGAAATAGATTTTTTATTTTTTAGTGTGGCAGCGTCTTCACTTTGGAACTCCCTGCCTGTGGACAGATGCCTTCACTGTAATTTTTTTGTTTTACTCTTTCTGAAAACTGCATCGAGGTTTTATGACAGTCAAGCAGCATTTTGTGAAATAAATGTTGGATGGTGTGGTTTTCTAGGCAGGCTGGACCACCCGCTCCCCCAGCCCAACCTTTTTTTCTTTAAAAGAAAATTAATCCCTGCACCTCTGACATCCGTTGCTCTGTTTCCCACTATCCAGGCTGGTCAGTGAAATTGAAGAACTGACAGCATCCATTGAGGCTCTCAAGAAGAAGCTTCTGGAGTCAGAGCAGGCTCTGCGCAACCTCGAAGACTCTCGGATGAATCTCGAGAAGGAGATTGCCGTGAAGGCCAACAGCATCTTTATTGACAGGCAGAAATGCATGGCCCATCGATCGCGATACCCTACCATCCTTAGACTAGCAGGCTATCAGTAGCCATTGCTGCCTCCGGTAGAGGAGAGTGACCCACTTGCCTCGACTGACGAGAAATTCAGTTGCATAGGAATGTGAACTTCTCTTCCCTCCCCCAGTTTTTGGTTTGTGTTGAAATAAAATGAAGACATTTTGCCAGGAGTTGTTGTCTGCTGTCTCCTGGAGACCTGGAGCCTTTTATCTGGGAGACTTGGTGGTTTATAAACACCAACGTGGGGAGGGGTGGTGGTGTCCTCAAAACACGGTGTTGTGGCAAAGAGTGCAAGCTGCTACGTCCTTAAGAGAAGGGTAGAGTATCTGTTTGCATGCAGGAGGTCCCAGTTTTGGTCTCTGGCACTTCCACGCAGGAGAAGCTGCCTGCCTGAAACCCCGAGGAGCTGCTGTCAATCAGTGTGGACAATGCTGAGCTAGATGGACCAAGAAGTCTGACTTGTCATAAGGGAGCTTCCTATTACCGGTATGTTCTGGTGTTCCCATCTCACCTTGGTATATCACCAGCTATATCACCAGCTAAACATCACAATATACCGAAGTAATGTCTGAAATAAGGATGGGGCATTGGCTGGTTTCATGGTTTTCACCACATTGTGATTTTTGCACCGCACACACCACGATTCGCAATATATTGCCAGGTCAAAAATTACGAAACCAATATCATGAGATGGACTTGAAACTGGGTTTGGGATAATATATCGCCCAGCCCTAACACACATCATGATTCATGATATATTGCCAGGTCAAAACCTGATACCGGTATCACAATATGGACTTCAAACTGGTTTTGGACCATCAGAGGCGTAGGAAGTATTGGAGGGGGATTTTCAACTGGTGGCAGAGGACAGACTGTGACTCCAGGAGACATAGGTGTAAAACCAAACTAAAACGAAGACTTTATTACAAAACAATAAACAGAAACTCTGGTGGGTGTTATTCCTGCAGGCAGAGTACAAAACACAGCTTTTTCCTTTTGTAGCCACGGCCAGCTGCAACCAATTAACCCAGAAACTTCTTAAAGGTACACACACATGTTTCTGTGCAGAATGTCTCCCAACAGGAAGGGGTGTGGTGGGTGCGGTCCGCCCTGGGTGTCATGACTGAGGGGGGTGACAAAATGGCAGGCGAGTGGGCGGTACACCTCGCGCCCAGTGGCAGCAGCTCTTCTGACCCGGCGGCAGACAGCAGCCCTCCTCAGCCGTGGCGAGGGGCACCCAGCTGCAGCAGCTCCATTGCCAGGTCATGTGTGACCCAGCTGCGGAGAGCAGGAGAAAGTGAGCAGCAGCTTCCCTGCCCCTCTCCTACCCTGAACTGTGGCACGTGGGAGGGCACCCTCTGTGCCCCGCCCCCTGGGAGTGCGCCCCCCCCTTGGGAGCATGCCCACCCTGGGCAGCACAGACATATGCTCTGTTGATATATCGCCCAGCCCTACTCAAGAAAAACCGCTGCTTTGTTCTAATGAGGCCAAAGATGCCCTGCCCTGTTCTTCAGAGCGGTATTGTTTTTCCTGATCTGCTTAGCATGCATCGGCAGGCAACAGTTTTCCACAGGCTTGAGTGGCACTACCACACGGTCTCCTGCTGCAGAAGAAGAAGAAGAGGAGTTTGGATTTGATATCCCGCTTTATCACTACCCGAAGGAACCTCAAAGCGGCTAACATTCTCTTTTCCCTTCCTCCCCCACCACAAAACACTCTGTGAGGTGAGTGGGGCTGAGAGACTTCAAAGAAGTGTGACTGGCCCAAGGTCACCCAGCAGCTGCATGTGGAGGAGCGGGGAAGCGAACCCGGTTCACCAGATTACAAGTCCACCACTCTTAACCACTACACCACACTGCAGAGTCGCACAGACTCCCTGTTTGAAACCCTAGAGAGCCATTGGTGCCAGTGGATCAATGGTTTAATCCAGCTCCCTATGTTCGTTCCTGCGTTCTGACTTCAGCGCTCCCTGAAGCCTAAAGGCGGCTTCCGGACGCAGCATGCCTTCCCATCTTTCTCTGAGGCTGAATTCAGGCATGAGGCTTGGTAAATATTTGTAAACAAGGCATTATCGAGAAGCGGAATGTGGTGCTTGCAGGAGAGATGGGTTGTGGGGGGTTGTTAGAGAGAGATTGATCTTTGGACAAAAGATGGATAATCGCAGAATCGTTCAAATGTTGGCAATGAGCTACTAATATCAATAGGCCCAGCTGAAAAAAGAACCGACCAGAACTGTCTGAGCTCTGGATCTTTTCACAGGCTCTAAAAGGCCTTGTAATAGCATCTTTGCAAGTATCGATCCCTTCGTGTCATCCTGGTCCATGCCATAGAAACGTCCAGCTGGGCTGTTGTGGAAGTGCTTGCATTTTCAGTGCGAGATCTGAAGGCAACGTCAGTTAAATGCTGAAATGCCATTGAAGGCGATTATGTGGCTTAATTGCCAAGTCGCCTGCTGGGAGATTAATGCAGTTATGAAACTTTGTTGTATTTTTTCTCTTAAAAAATAAATAATGCGGAGTAATTGCAGGGTAGATCCTTAGTTCTAACGATCCATGATGGATAAGCGTGACATTCAACAATATCTACCTGTGAATCATCACCCAGAGAAATAACTACAATTAGCGCTCTTTTAAAATCCCTAGTAATTACACATTTCCCAAATAGAAGCATCTGATTGCTTGGGTCAGCCTTTGCCAACCTGGGGCCCTTCAGATGTTTGGAATACAAAACCCACACAGATGTGCCAAGAGTAGACTCTGTGGCCACAGTGTCCTGGGGCTGATGAAAATTTTGGTTCATCTTGAAGGAACTCGGTCAGGGAAGGCTTGTGTAGGTCATCATCTGAGGCCTTCCAGTAATTTTGTCCTTGTGATGCCACCTGTCTCTGAGGCCCCTTGTGCACTATCATATCACTTCCCCCAAAGAATCCCAGGAACTAGTTTGTTAAGGGTGCTGGGAGTTGTTAGGAGATCCTGATTTCCCCTCACAGAACTACAGTTCTCAGAGTTCCCTGGGAAGAGGGATTGATGGTTAAAGTGCTCTGGGAACTGTAGCTCTGGGAGGGGTCTCTTAGCAACTCACAGCATACTTAGCAAACTATAGTTCCCAGAATTCTTTGGGGGAAAGCTGTGACTGGTTATGGTGATGTCATAGTCCTTTAAATGGGTAGCGCAGGTGGGGCCTAAATGGAACAGGTTGCCAAGTTAGTGGAAGCCCCTACCGGATGGAGCTTTCTTCCAGGGGGGGTCTGCCCTGGCACCCACCCCTCTCTGTCAGGAAAGAGGCTAATGCATGGCTCTGTTCCAGAGAGCCTTTGCTAGGGGGTTGGTGCTGCATATTTCACACTGCTGTGCTTTAGTAATTACTAATTTAAAACTTGCTTCTGAATATTCAGAAGTCCCTTCCATTGTCTCGTGCCACAATCTTTTGTTAACAGACTCCTTTTTTCCTGGTAAAGATTCCAAGCGCTTCAGGGTGCGCAGTTATTTATGTGCATCACTACTCCTGGAATTTCAGCATTTTATCATTTCCCCTCAATATTGCACCAGTAGATAAATAATAAAGTTAAAGAAAAATAACAACTCTGCAATTCTGCGACAAGGAGGCCCACCTATGTAGAAAGCAGTGAAGCTTATTATCAGGACCACGGGGGGGGGGGGGGGAACAAAGCTAGAATGAAACAAAACCTAAGCATGCAAGTCTAGACACGAGCTTATAAAAGGGGACCACAATGGGACGGCGTCTGGTTTGCGTGGCTTGCATTGTTTTTGTGCCCTAGAACTGAAATGAAATGTGCATGAATGTGAAATTCAGCAAAATTTGAAACCCACACACACAATTAACTATCGATCAGATAAGGAGATGCGAGGGGCTGCTGTCCCTGTTCCTATTGCTCACCAACACTGCCTACCCCTCCCTCCTCCCTTTAAACTTCACCCAAATCTCCACCCCCACAGCTCCTCTGTGTCCGTCCACCCCTGCTTTATTCAAACGCCTGCTGTTGTTTGGAACTGCCGTTTAAAAACCTGCCTTCTCCTTTGCTCCTCATCGCACACCCTGAACAAGCAAACCTGACTTCATCCAAATCTGAGATTGCGATGCAGCAGTACAAATCCTCCACTGGGGGCTGTGTGACAACATTAAACCCACCCCCTCGGCAAATCATTTACAGTGGTACCTCGGGTTACAGATGCTTCAGGTTACAGACGCTTCAGGTTACAGACTCCGCTAACCCAGAAATAGTACCTCGGGTTAAGAACTTTGCTTCAGGATGAGAACAGAAATTGCGCAGCAGCAGCGGGAGGCCCCGTTAGCTTAAGTGGTGCTTCAGGTTAAGAACAGTTTCAGGTTAAGAACAGACCTCCAGAATGAAGTTCTTAACCTGAGGTACCACTGTACAGTGGTACCTTGGGTTAAGTACTTAATTCGTTCCGGAGGTTCGTTCTTAACCTGAAACTGTACTTAACCTGAAGCACCACTTTAGCTAATGGGGTGTCCTGCTGCCGCCACGCCGCCGGAGCATGATTTCTGTTCTCATCCTGCAGCAAAGTTCTTAACCTGAAGCACTATTTCTGGGTTAGCGGAGTCTGTAACCTGAAGCGTATGTAACCTGAAGTGTATGTAACCTGAGGTACCACTGTATATAAAATATATCATTTACAGGCAACCCATCATCGCATCCCAGGATGGTTTCCAACAATGACTAAAATACAACAACAACAATCTTTATTATGGTCCAGAGACCCAACAAATCGTTACAAAGCAATACACAATTCATACAGCCTACCTCCAGGTTAAACAAGCATTTTGTTCAGAATATAGGGATCACTGGTTCTTGCAACCACCGATAAAAACTTTGCCACTTTTCTGCAGGTACCCAACTGTGTCCCCAACTCCATACTTCTGTTAGAAGCTGGTGAATGCCCAATTTCAACTAAAGCGTGGTGGGCTGCCCTAAAACATTGGCTCAGGATTTCAGTGTTTGATCTAGGGAAGGGTTTGTACCAGCACCTGACCAATGAGGAATTTGTCAGCAAATGGCAGAAAACCATGGCTAAAAAAGCCACCTCTATTGGTCTGTCACCCCCCCCAACTGTATTACCTGGGTTATGAAGACGTTAAAGCAAAGATTATGGGATAATGCGCACAGTGACTAAAATACAAACACACA